AGAAAAATGTGTTTTTTGGCCCCTTTTTGGCCCCAAATTCCTAAACATTTAGGGCAATTACCCCCAAATTCAAACCCAGCTTTCCCTTTGTGGTATGGAACCTTGAAGTACAATTTCAGAAAGATCCATACACTTACACACAAGTTATTGTCCTGAAACTAGAAAAATGCTTTTTTTTTGCCCCTTTTTGGCCCCTAATTTCCAAAATATTGAGGCAATTACCCCCATCATCAATCCCAGCCTTCCCTTTGTGGTATGGTACCTTGCAGTACAATTTCAGAGAGATCCATACACTTGAACACAAGTTATTGTCTGGAAACTAGAAAAATGCTTATTATTGGCCCCTTTTTGGCCCCCAATTCCTAAACGTTTCGGCAATTACCCCAAACTCAATTCCAGCTTTCCCTTTGTGATATGGAACCTTGTAGTACAATTTCAGAAAGATCCATACACTTACACACAAGTTATTGTCATAAAACTAGAAAAATGCTTGTTTTTTGCCCCTTTTTTGGCCCCTAATTCCTAAAATTTTGAGGCAATTACCCCCAAAATCAATCCCAGCATTCCTTTTGTGATATGGAACCTTGTGGTACAATGTCAGAGAGATCCATACACTTACACACAAATTATGTCTGGAAGTTACAAAAATGCTTATTTTTGGCCCCTTTTTGGCCCCTAATTCCTTTACTGTTGGTACCATAACCCCCAAAATCAATCCCAACCTTCCTTTTGTGGTATTGAACCTTGTGGTAAAATTTCATAGAGATCCATCCACTTAAACTAAAGTTAGAGTGCGAAAACCAATGTGTCTTCGGACGACGACGACGACGACGACGACGACGACGACGCCAACGTCATGCCAATATACGACCACAAAAATTTTTTTGCGGTCGTATAAATAGTCAGACCAGACGTGACTGGGAATTGATACCTTCCTCACAACAAAAAAGATCTGAGAGTACTCGCAGTTACTGACAGCTACTAGTAGTTCAAGGTCAATAATAACCAATAAAACAATCATGTATCTAAAACTAAAATATTGATTATGACACATCAAACTTCCAACGGATTTAGTGTAAAGACGTCATCAACAGTCATAGAAAAACATGACCTTGTGCAATGCAAAAATATAGGTATCGACAGATTGTAGAACCGTAAAGGTGCATATGTATATAGCAATAATATTTAGTATGGTTTAAATTTACTGATAACAAAATCAATATTTATACCAATAAAAACAATATTCAAAGATCTATTTACAGCGTTGAATTTGTAACATTTTAGAATGAGTTTATTCAAAGGATTGATAAGTTTACCCCGATCGTATCTCAATTTCTGGGCTCGGTAAAACCATCATCGTAAGAATTAGGATGTGCTATCCCGTTTGAAATACATTTTCTCAAAACCTGCAAACCAAATCTTTGGATCTCTAGAAGAATTTAATAAAGATTTTAAGCAATTTGGCAACGAAATCCTTGATTTAATCATTTACCAGTAATATATAGATTACGTTCATTGAAATGCAAAACGTCACTACATTTACAGGCATAGCAAACAAGTTAGGATACATAAACGCCACAAGACAGTGCCAAAGAAACATCATCGTCCAAAAAAGGAAAATTAACAATAAGGAACGAAAAATCGTTCCTATTGTCTACAAGTAGACCCCTCGTAGCCATCGGTCGCACAAAGTTCATAATATTCATCCGAAACGTGTTGACACCCGCGAGACATTTGACTGTCCCTCTGGTATCTTTCGTCCCTCTTTAAACGGACGAGTTCAAATTTGCAATATTTAAATCGTCTCTTTTGTTATAAAGTTTAGTTCTCAGAAATCCCTCACTGTCAATTAATAAATCATTTAAAGCTATGAAGCAGACCATATTGTACTTGCGGTGTCCTTATTTCAAATCCAATGAGATAGATACAATGAACATAGTACCTAGACTTTGAACTTTTTAGTGAGTGGACACTATCCATTATCGAAAAGTGAAACTAAAGAACGTGACGCTGGCCACTTTTCATTATTGCTGAGAAGTACTTGTATAAAGTCTACCTCATACGATTAATTGTTTGAAACCGAGTGGTCAAATTCTGAATCAAAGTATCTTCACTTGTAAGATGCATTGCCCAAAACGAATATTTAGTGTTCTAAGATCCATACCCCCTGCACATACCAGGAAACTTCATTTTAAGCTTCGTTTGTTATCTAAATATAATATGGAATTTATAATATCGTCCTCTGAAAATAAAAAAAAAAACCAATTACGAATGTCAAAACAAACAAGGTTTAAAAATAAAACTTCTTATTTGTTGTTTTTTAAGAAATTATTTAGTCACAGCTTTACTATTGTGATGTGTCAACTATTAATAAGTATAATGATGTGCAACATCTGCATTTAAGATGATCATTGTTTAATTCAGTTTTAATCAATATTTGGTATAGCTCTTGCAAAATTGTATACGGATCTACAAAATCTGTAGAAAACTTTTAAAACTGAGGTTTACAAGACGATTTCAATAGTAAAATTGCTATCGTTAATATTATTACATGTAGTTTGGGAGCGAACTCATAACCTCACATGATTACAAGACAACAACCTATGCTGTAAATTTTAAAGGTATAAGAGGAATTATAATTGTAATCTATGCAAAGATTCCTATCTACAGAACTAAAGTAATAATGAATTAAGTAAAATATCCAATGCTATTCAAAGGTGGTGTGATGGTTTGCATGGAATACTGACTAATCGGAACTAATATGTTCCTGATCTTTTTTCGGCTGAGTAATATTTTAAGAAATTACTCCGGTCCAATTGTATATTTTGTTCGTTATCAACATTCACATTAGCTATTGGTCTATAACTTGTGCATTGCTCAGATCGAAAATACAATTTTCTCAACTTACAGACACCATACTGTCTCTTTCCCTTCATATTTATTTCTGATAAGTCTACACATCCCTACGAAAATGATTTCAGAGTGATTTTCCTACATCTAACGTAACATTTCCATTTAATTTTGTCTTCGAATATAGCTCACAATTCTATTCAGTGTAAATTGCGTTGGCCAATTTCCCATTTATTTCTTTCACTCTTTCTCAATGTCGAAGAGGTTGTAAAACCTAGACAGCGATAAACATGTCTGTCGCTAGTTGTTAACCATTTCGTAAAGGTGACGGAAAAATTATGAAGTGTCGATTTCAGTCTTCGGAACAGAGTTTGTGTAAGGTTGATTGATTATTTGTTGCTTAACGTCCAGTGGCAAATATTTCAGGCATGTTTAGGACGAGAAAAAATTAACAATAAATTCAATAGGTATGCCCTGTAATAAAGGCTTGAAGGTCGGGGGAATTTGGACTGCCACTGGAAAATGAGGGGATATATTGGATAGTAACAGAATTTTGCGTACATGTACATCTCGCACAGCCAAACGGATGGCCTATCTTGGCGAGGGTTTTACTACCAGTCGAAATAATACCAAAATGACTTTATTTCTATTCCCAAGTCAGTCACCCTTGGGGTTTGTGTACGGAACATACACCTGTCAATGAATTCAGTATAGTATAAATATGCACAAGCGTAACGTATTGATTGAGGTATGTAAATGCCATACGATGGGACAAAAGGTATTCTACTGCTGGGAAATGGGAATTTGACAATTGAAAAGTTGAAATCATCAAGTTTGTCATAGATTCTAGTTTAAAGTCTGTTTCATAACAGGGGGAAGACTAAGGTATGAGGCAGACCTTCTAGTTTAGGTAGTATCTTTAATCAAGTTCACTTGGATATATGAGATGCAATCAATCACTGAAATGTGGGTATAAAAAGTAATTTTCCATCCAAGATCGTTACGATAATATTATTAATAACAAAAGGAAATATAAGAACTGTCATTAATTAAAACCTTGGTTTTTATCTAAATAGAATTATTTAATTAAACTGTTGTTGATGAATCATTGCCTGTTGGTTAATATTGAATGGGTTTTTATTATTGGGACAATACAGTGTTTTTTTAATTTTTAAAATCAAAAAGTCGATACACAAATTCACAAGAATGTCACGGGTTTTTTTTTTTTTTTTTTTTTTTTTTTTTTTTGCACTGTTCCTGACGTTACTATGTGAATTATATCTTGATGAATTGTAGCAGCCTATAATTTTGGCTTTAAGAGTTATTTAGTTCAAAGATGACCATTTCAGTATTAAAAATCGTTACTAGATTGCAAGATGGCATGATTTTGAAACTACAGAACGAATACTTAAAAAGTGCCTTCGATATATGGAACATTAAATGATACGATATTTACCTGCAGTTATGTTTTTTAGTCTGTTAAACCGATATTATTTGGTTAGATTACGGTACTAACGTTACAGCATCTTATTTAATTTCATTAAACGAGTAATTCATAGAAAGATACAGTTTAATATGATAATTTATCTCATAGGGGCGAAATTTCCAAACTGTACAGTCACATTTATGTAAAATGTGGAAAGGCCTATTGATTTTTGTATTATTTGTTTTTACAATACTATCAACTGTACCAATTTGACCGTACCAGATGCGCATTTCGACAATTAATGCATCTTCAGTGATGATCAAGGCCACAATATGTTATAGAGAAAGTCAAAAACCAAAAATACATAATAATAACCTTGAATGAATTCGGAACATGGAGGAGACCGTACATTACAGTGTTCGTTTTGTGAACAACCTAATCCTATATGGCGGAAATATCTAAATTGTGGGAAAAAATCTATGTCGGTAGTGTGAATATTTTATTCCAATGTCGTTATTGATTTTTGAGAATAAAATGATTAAGTTTGAAATGAGAGAAATCAAATTACGAGCAATAAATTGCAAACTTCCGCAAAAGGTGGACATAATAATATTTGTGACCATGAACACCAAAGCCATGCAACTACTCTAAAGAGATGGTTAACATTAGACTAACGAACAAATGTCAACTGATTCTCTTAAAATTTATTTTTGATATTCTGTTCTCATATATCTGATCTACCATAATTATCCACCTCTGTCCCATAACTTTTCACTGTGTTTTCTCCCAGTACTCCTGGATCTCCATACGCTACGCCATTCTCTATTTCACTAGTTGTAACAGATCCGGTACCTTCATCGTATCCTCCTGTTCCGTCAAAGTCGGTAAATAGACCGTTATCTTGATCATAGTGAGGTATATCATTTATACCTAAAATATGAAGATTCTGAACATTTTTGTCAGAATATTCCTGTTTCCCGGTTTGAACTAATTCTTTGCCCGGTGTGACCCCAATGCCATCATCTAATTGTACGACAGGAATGTGGTATGGCTCATGCAGATCTCCATTTTCATTATATGATGGAACTTTTGTAACTTTGTTATTTGTTAAATCTTTGTCATTCATATATTCAGAATTAAGTTTGCTACCCGTCACATCATAATACGGAGTGGTGAGAGCACTACTTGTACTATACATGTTAGTCCCTACAGAGTTTGCATAATTTGTTTCGCCATAATTAGAGTTATCCATGTTCATATCTTTTCTAACATATGTGTGACCATTGCCCGAGTCTTCTAAATAATATGTCAGGTTACCTGATGAACTGGAACCTGAACATATTGCTATAGATCCTGTGCTCCCTCTCTGTATGCAAGTACAATTTAAAAAAGTTTCTCCATTTGTTTCTTTAGAAAATCCTGTCTCTCCATAGGAATAGCATTTCCCAGTAAGTCCTTTACAGCCTAAAATTTAAAAATGAATTTAGTACTGAAAAATACTTACTAATAGGTATGGGGTATCCATCCATAACACAAACTCAGTACATGCACAGCAAAAAACACAAAAAGCAACGGAACCGCGATTTTATTACTGTTCTTCATTTCAAAGACACAGTGATGCCTTCAACACGTAGCAAATACTGTAACCACACAAGTTTAAGACGGCCCCTAGTAAATATTTCAGTTGAATTCTTTGCAAAGACGTTCTTCGAATATATATTTGAATTCTTCATGAAATTAGAATTCTTTCTTGACCTATAAAAAATGCATTTTTTAAGTCATAAATTTTTGAACTATTTAAGACTTCGTCTTTCTTTCGCCATGTTATCAGGCCTGGGTAGCAGGTTAAGGCATTTAATGAGTATGGTATTATGATGTCTTGCCACTATCACATCCGAACTAAGAACTGATAAATTCAAATCGATTTCCACATTGTCAAATGGAAAATAAACCAATTTGTTAAAAGGAGATAGTTAGAAACATTCATGTTATTTCGGTATGGTGAGGTCAATGTTTTTTTTTTGTTAGTTTACATTGAGATGTCATTGGTATCGTGATGGGTAAAGTAAAAGTTATCAAATATTTCGATAAGACTCACCGCCTCGTACAACTTCTCTTACTTCTTGATCAACCTTTAAATAACATTGTCTGTAGTAACAGAGGTCATCACAGTAGTAACCTCCATAAGGTATACATTTGTTGCCATCAACTATACAACCTACAAATAAAAGCACATGTAAAATGATGAATCCCATTAAGATTAGTCAACTCAATCGAACTCGGTCTGCACAACACGTAATTCTTGAAAATCTTTCAGTAGGTGTTTTAGTTTTCTATGTTGTGTTTTGTGTACTGTTGTTTGTATTTTGGTCTTTTTTTTTTGTCATGGCGTTGTCAGTTTATTTTCGACTTATGAGTTTGAATGTCCCTTTTGTATCTTTCGCCTCTCTTTTTCGCTAGAGACCAAACGTGTATTAAGCCAAACATACCACCAGGCAACATTAGTTGGTAGCGCTTTTTGATTGACAAAGTGGTAATTACACATATGTATTGGAAAGAAATCATGCTACATTCTTGTCATAAGCATTTCCTACAGTGTGTTTTCATCCGATTTTGACATAATGAACATTGACAATGTAAAGTTCATGTAAAATTTCAGTGTTCTATGTATTATTGAAGCGAAGTTAATACTGGACGTTACGTACAACAAACGGCATCATATTATACCCACCTCTTTATATGGAAATCAAACGAAAGGTATAACAATGCTGTATTAATAAAACACTTGAAATTTATTATTTTTAGTTTGTGTGCACAATCCAGTACATATTTTAACAAGATGAGATGGATCAGAAAGAATATTATGTTTTAAACATGATCAAACATACTGACTAGTTTTGGATATAATCTCTTCATTGGAACAACTGTAAAGGTATAAAAAAAGAGCAGAGTTCGAATGTCCCCCGCGTTGCACATATTTTATCTGTTCTGTCCAAGGACAATAACTAAAAAAACTTTTTTTTCTTTAAATCTCTTTAAAATTATCTTACTAGATGGTTGAAGACTTAGAGCAAATTTCCGATATATTTAATATTTCCAAGGGAAAAACTCATTAAAAATACTTGATCGGCACTTATTTTTAAAATTGTCTGCGACATTGCTGTTATATACCTTTGATATGAATTTGATAAAAAATCTGGCAAAAATTGTACAAGCGGGAGCAATTACAATGCAATTTTCCATATAATCAATGTTTCCAAGGGGTATAACTCTTTTAAAAATAAATGATCGTCACTGATTTTCAAACTTGTGAAAGACATTGCTGATATAAACCTATGATATAAGTTTCATAAAAATCTGGCAAGAATTGTGCACATGAGAGTGCTAACGATGCAATTTCCAAACTATTAATGTTTCAAAGGGGCATTACTCTTTTAAAAATAAATGATCGTCACTGATTTCAAAGACATTGCTGATATAAACCTACGATAAAAGTTTCATAAAAATCTGGCAAGAATTGTACACATGAGAGCGTTAATGCAATTTTCCAAATTAATAATGTATCTAAGGGCATAACTCTTTTAAAAATAATTGATTGGCACTGATTTTCGAACTCGTCCACAACATTGCCAGTATTAACCTATGATATAAGTTTCATAAAAATCTGGCAAGAATTGCACAAATAAGAGCGCTAACGATGCAATTTTCCATATAGTTAATGTTTCCAAGGGGCAAAACTCTTTTAAAAATAATTGATCTGCACTGATTCTCGAACTCGTCCAAGACATTGCTATATATTAACCTATGATATAAGTTTCATAAAAATCTAACAAGAATTGTACAAATGAGAGCGTTAACGATGCAATTTTCCACATAATTGATGTTTCCAAGGGGAATAACTCTTTTAAATATAATTCGTCTGCACTGATTTTCGAACTCGCCAAGACATTGCTGATATAAACCTATGATATAAGTTTCATGAAAATCTAGCAAGAATTGTACAAATGGGAGCGCTAACGATGAAATTTTCCATATAATTAATGTTTATAAGGGGCATAACTCTTTTAAAAATAATTGATCGGCACTGATTTTCGAACTCGTCCAGGACATTGCTACTATAAACCTATGATATAAGTTTCATAAAAATCTGGCATGAATTGTACACGTGAGAGCGCTAACAAGACCGGACGGACGGATCCCCGGTGTTTCTATGTTCCCCGCAACGCGTTGCGCGGGGGACAAAAATCCGCTAACTTACCATATTGTTTAGATATTGTTGTAGCATTACCATTACAATAATATTCCATACAGTTAGATTCATTTCTCCATGTGTCATACATATTGACACATCTATTACCAACAGGACATGCTGTAAGAGTAAAGTTGTGTGGTAATTATATTAACAAATGAACTGTGCCACCATTATTAAATAGTCGTTTGAATTAGAGATATATAAAAAGCCAATATTTACATATTGCATATTGCAAAGTGTAGTCATTTCTGACTGAAATTCCAAATTGTGATCATTCTTAAGAAAGACTTAGTAATACCTCAAGAGCTGAAAGCTGAAACTATAATTTATACATACTTAGGATGTGTATCTTGCAGTAACATTATTTGAATGATACGTGTGGATGAACCCATTCAATTTTGTTTATATTCTAATTTGGTTGGTTTACAAAGATTTACAATAGTTCTAGTAGCATTTCCGATTGAATAATAGAGTTTTTATTCTGGCATCGTGGATAAGGACCTACGTTTTATTCCATTATCGTGGATACCGAATTATCTTTTAAAATAGTATTGTAGATATGGAAATACCTTTTTTAATTGTCTCCCATTTCACATTCATACTTTCTTGTGTTGTACATTCAAAAATGAAACAGTTATTGACAACTGTCTCCTCAAACTTATAACACTTTCCTTGAAAAGTGCATCCTGGAATTATATTAATTATTTAATATCATTACATACTTAATTGCGGTATCAATCGTAAATTTCATTTATGCGACAAGAGAACATAACTTTATATTTTTTTCTGAAGTACTGAAATTCATCAGGTTCACGCGACATTAAAAGTTTGGAAAGTCAAATAAATATCAACACAAAATCATGGAGCGCGTGAAAATAAGTGAGTTGATAGAGCTATGTTATTATTATTTTTTTTTATATTTTCCATGCATTTCATTTGTTAATCGAACATTGTCATACCAGTTGGTAAATGATTTGGTGTATTAAGTTGTTCTTTCAGAATCAATTAACACTATTTACATTCCAGTTCACGTTTGTTTACATTCTTTGAATCACAGTTTTTTCCCTCACACTTGCGCTGTGCGATTGCCAAAGTTTTAACGAGAGGTCTTGTGATTTTGGTCACAGCATACGGAAAAATGTATCGGCAAATTAGAGTACGAGAAGACAATAATTCGATTGCAATTCATTTTGAAAATTTTGATACGATAAAGGATTTTCTTTTTACAAGAAAGTCCATGCACACTTTTTTTAAGTCAAACTTAGCCATTTTTCAAGTATATAAAACATGTTTATTGTTTTTTTTTAATTTGAAGTCTCATATGACTGTAATGATTTAATTGTAAAGTCTGTTTTGATCTCCCGAAGAAGACATGGTCGTAACAGTCATTGACATATAACCTATAACAGATAATATACCTGGTACAGAAGTAATGACAGTCAACGTTTCTCCATTGTCTCCAGGAAGTAAATCACAGTAATGTTCTGTACAGTTAGTACCAGGCCATGATGCACCATTTTTGTAACAATTACCTTTGTATTTACAACATTCACAATCTGGAAAAAATCAACACATTTTCTTATTATATAGAACAAAAACAAGATTATGTAAGAAGAATGATTGCCACTGAAACAATTATCCAACATAGACCAAAGAAAAAAAATGCTAACAACTAATCGCTTCAACGGCACTTTGTAATTTTTATTCAACTATTGTAATAAGTTTGGTATGTCTATTTTAAGCTTTGCTGTAGTATTTTTATCATTTTGTAATTTTTATTCAACTATTGTAATAAGTTTGGTATGTCTATTTTAAGCTTTGCTGTAGTATTTTTATCATTTAGTACATAATTTTCTTTATATTGATGTTGATGAATTTTAGAATATGTTGCCATAGATATCAAGCATGAGATTTAGGGGCTGTGCCCTGTGTCTGTTTTACTTAAAAGAGAACTTTATTGAACATATGCATATGATATCGCAGCCAATGTCAAGTATGCTATTGTAACAGTCATCATTTACTCGAGACGATACAAAAAACATTTTTGGGCATCATAATAAAAAGGCCCAAACAGCCACTGAACAACCAAGATCGCTCTAAAGTTAAATTTTGCATGAAGGAGTTTCAAAAAGTAAAGTTTGACAATTTAATCAACTGTATAAAGATTGCAAACTATTTTCTTTAACATATAAATGCAGATATTTGAATATAATAATCGTTAAAAAATTAAAGAACCCGAAGTATTGACTCTGGTATAGAAATGTAGACTTCTTCCGAACGGCATTAAACTCATCCGTTTGCCTGTGCCTGATGTAGAAACACGAAGCCACGGCCCGTCGGAATGAGACGTGTAATCAGTTGCCTCCTGTAGAGAGGATGACATACTCTCTATACACTAAAGAACTCTTGCAATAACTGTTTGTGGGGTCCTTATAGGCGACATGTTCAATGCTGTATTTTCCATTTCTATCTAACATACTCTTTTTCAAGGGGCAGTCTTAATTTTCTTTTACCTACAGGATGTATTGTTTATTTCTTCTGGACCTGCATATGCATGAATAGTTAACACCAGGCATTTAGTATATCAATCAATTAATCAATCAAATTATTTGACTGCCACCAAGTACATATGCAATACATACAATTAAAGCAAACAGTTTATAATATCGTTCCTTAAGAGCGTGTTATTGATTAACGCCACTTTCAGCACTATTGCGCTATTTCGTGGCAGTCAGTTTTTATTGGCAGAGGAAGCCGGAGTGCTCGGAGAGAACCACCGACCTTCGGTAGGAGAACTTACAATCTAGTCAGTTAAGATTGGAGTCGAACGCACCTGCCCCTGGTCCGATTCGAACTCACAACCTCAGACTAGTAATACAGTAGTTCGATTATTTAGACCACTCGACCATCGAGACCCCGTGTGTGCTATACAAGTCATAAGTAAACACATCGTATAATTATATACAGGCCTTCGACATGCATACAAGTGCACGAGTATTATTTGACCGTTTTGCATTCATGCGTTATGGGGTCCTTTTATTTTACATACGAAATTAGACATTGTTCTATTTTAGGATAAACCTTATGTATTCATTATAGACCTACTAGGTACTTTTCCAATTTTCTCTATCCTTGCTGTTTTGACATAGATCTGATCTTCCCCGATACATTTATACTGGTCACAATCATACTCCCAGACTTCTTCTGGTGCTTTACATTCTTGCTCCTGTGATAAACACCCTGAAAAATTATAATGTGCAGATTATTTATTTCAGTTAGTTGATCTTCTTCTTTTACCATTTCCGATTCATATCTTTATCCTCAATAACATACACGGTACAAATTGTAATGCACCTTGATCCTTAACATCAAACATAGTCAGACGTTTTGTTAAAATATACTTTTTCACGTTTTGGTCTTTTGGAAATTGTTGTTTGTGCTGTATTTTATAGACCCCTCTAACAAGAAATTTGTTTTGCATGTACACGTATAAAAATTGCGGTTTTTATCCAACGCAATCATAGGTTTGAACGTTGTTTTTTCAATTTAGACTTTTTTCATAGTCATAGACATATATAGTACTATACATATCTCTGGCATAGTGCTCAAAGATGATGGACTTTCCTGCTAATCTATTTCTTTCCTTGGCCATTTTCTAAAAGTCCTTCAATCTGCTCTAAAATTCACATTGTTATGGATTATAAGGTTTTAGTATAACTTTATGGTGTATTTCCGAATATATGATCAAATCATAAATGCTTAAAGATGGCTCCAAATTTCAATTTTAATAGATTTTGGCAAAATGTGAGTAATTATTTTAAAAGTGTATTAGAAGGAGATTTTTAACTAAAACCTAAAATTCTACTATAAGTAATTATATATATTACCTTTCATTTACAACTAAATTTATCATGGCACCTAATGTCTTTCAAAGCAAAATTTTACAAAAACATGTAAAACTTGTACCATTGTCTTTAATAGCAATATGTAGCGCTGAATGACAATTTTGAATCAATTAAATTTATATCAGAATAAGATATGACCCGCCCCACCCCCTCCTAAAAAGAAAAAAAAGAAAGATGAATGGTTAGTGCCTACCACAAAAAGGCCAATGATTATTTTATTGGAAGAGACAAAAGACTCAAAAAAACGTATTCAAAGTATTTATTATCGCATATTAGTAAATGTGTATTAAATTATATGCCATCTCAATTTGTCAGTACTTACATGCTTGGCCATCAATAACATAGAAATGTACTTTCCTCCCATTACGATAATCTTCAAAGTATGTACAAGTTCTGGAAGAACAGCCTTCTTTCCATCTCTCCCCTGGTAAGTGACATCTTTCAATTTCAGGATTCTTAGGATCTTTGTATATACACCCTACGTAAGACAAAACGATATTTTTATAATTCCTTACCATGTATTTCAATAGTTCATAAATATTCATATGGTACCATTATTCTTTAAGTTGATTCCTCCCTTTAAACACAGTAATAAAGTTTCACTACGACTTGTGTCTTCCATGGATGATATGTCAGTATAGGCTATCGTTCCTTTTTTAACGGCCTTTATATGTAGAAATAACCAGGATGTTAGGGCCCTTAAAGGGTTTATCAAAAACCCATAACTTAGTATATGCATATATCGAATAACTGTCTAGAAGTTTGCTACAGATACCCTTATTATATCGATAATAGACACTCAAAAGCAATTCACAATTAACCCATGGGGTGGTGTGGGACATAGAAATGTATCTATCTGACAGTAAACCCAATGCTAGAAAGGGAAGTACCTTTTGACTGTGCGAAGATTTGAAATGCTACATGCTATTTTAACGTTACGATGGTTGAAATCAATAGTGTTACTTTGTTTAATTTCATTGTTTAGCAAATTTTGTCTTAAATGGTTCTGGATTTTTTAAATTCACTTAAGCACAGCCAATGACAGCTGTTATTGTGTTTACAAACATTATCCATAGTAACCATAGTCAAACTCTTATCAAAAAGGGTATTTAAAAACTACACCATACATCAGCTTTTAATAAAGACGGCCTTATGAATAAATTTAGATTTTCAAGTCTGAGAAGAGAAACACAGCATTAGGTTGTCTCATTCAGAATTAGAAACGATATAAATCAAAGCATTGTCGATGTTGTGATTCAGCCAATTTTGTAGCTAGTCCGACATTTTTTCTGACCAAACTTTCAATATCGTTTTTTTATTTTCATTTCCATCATCTAACTGGAAAATTTTGCAATAGTGATGCAAATTATTTTAATATTTCAATTTTAGACGAGGTCAGATTTTTTAACATCTTTTTTTAGAAACATTTGCCATTCACTGCTTTTGACAAGAATGAAAAGGGAAATCTTCAAACAAGTAATAAATCTTTTATAGTTTGGCTTAATAATTTCCGGAAAGAGCATTTTTATCTAAATTGGTGTTCATTCTTCATAAAAAAAAATCGTTTCCCGTATTCAAATATACATATACAAATACCAAATGAGATATTTACAATTACTGTTAAATAGCAATATAATTAGGTAATAAACAAATAAATTGTATTACAGAAAATTCTCAGATAAGAATTATGCATTTTTTTTATTGTTTATACACCAAAAAGATTATTTGCAGAATATGCTCAGGTAAGAGTTATACAATTTTGTTTATTGTTTCAACCAAATTACTGATAATTGTAACTTAAATAGAACTTAATTATTGACTTATGTCAGATGATTATGACACTGATTTTACAAGTGAAATGAAATAAGCTTGCATTTTTTATACATATTTCATTTTTTGTCTTTTTTTGGAAAAAAACACAGCTTAATAATCATTCATCTTTCACACAAAATTAACAGAATAATGTTATGTAGTGTAGATCAAAATAAATGATAGGTATACTGTTGAGGTCAAGAATTTGTGTATTCAGTTAGATGTGTAATAAATCATGTAACACACGAGATATTAACTGTAGTCAATTAAGTCGGCATTAGAGTGGAGTTGATTCCAATTAATACTTACACCTTTAGTGTAATTGTCTGAAAATCATGACAGTTGAAAAATTACTAGTATTGTATCACCCAAGGAAAGAGTTGGAATAATAGCATTTCAAAAAAGTGCGGGAATCAACTTTGATATCAATACACATCTTGTACCAAATTTTATTCAATAACAAATACTGATAAAATACTTTCATAATTCTTATCAACTACTTGAATTTGATATATCACTTTTTCACATTAATTAATAAGTGGTAATTTAATATAAATTTTGAATAACAAAGGAACTATATGAAAGGGTATGTTTAAAATAAAGTAGCTGTTCGACCAATCTTTTCTTAATTTAAGGGCAAATAACAAGTTTGCAGTTGCTGATTAAAATGTTGTATAAAGTTTCTGCAAGTGATTAAAACACATAATTAGATTCATGATATGTCTTCAACTTAAAATTCTGCACAATCTCAAAATCTGGAGTGATCACATAGATCCAGCATGGCTTTATCAAAAAAGAAATAAAGAAGAAATCAGCGATGGATGTTTAAACTAACCTATATAATTTGTTTGGACAAGTCCATTGACACATTTGAACTTCTTACAGGGTAGTAACGGATCTGTCCAGGTTTCTTTATGCTTATGTCCATGGAATATACAATCAGCTGAAAATATAGTTATAATACATTCAATACATGAGCATGACCATGAATGCTATGAAACCATGAATCTACCAGTTTCCACCGGTTTTTTTTATAACATGAAAGCAAGTTTTACATGTTTCATATTGTATCCAATTTTTAACCGTAACAATTTGTTGCTTAGTCTTTAGTTTTCTATGTTGTGTCATCTGTACTATTATTTGTCTGTTTGTCTATTTATTTTTGGCATGGCGTTGTCAGTTTGTTTTCGATCTATGAGTTTGACTGTCCCTATGGTATCTTTCGTTCCTCTTTGATCATTTGAATTTTTTGTCAAATTCAGTTATGTTTAGACGTCCAACATAATGAGTATGTCACTTTATTTCCAAACAAATCTAAAATGCCAATAAATGTTCGTAATCCTTATTACGATAATCATAAATCTTGACTTAGTTTATATCGTTAAAATGGCACAATAAACTTCGTATTAGAAGTTTGAAATTACGCGTAAATCGTTCAACCAGCTCCTCTAAAAACGGTTCTGTTTCTAAAACAAACTGACAGACAGTTAGAGTAAATGAGAAATTTCAATATTTATGTATATTTCTTATTGAACATTTGAACTATGTTGAGTACCCTTTTATTTGCATATTGGAATTTCATGAATATAAAATTTCTTACCCGCAAACTAACAAACGGAAACATTCAATTTCAGTAATTTATTTCGGGAAAAAATCTACCTGAATTATCCAAATCCTGCTTTGTCCACATTTTTATGATTGTTATTGTTGTGTAGCTCTTATTTCGGCAATATAAATGTGTCTTTTTCTCGTACTTAGACACAAATCATTCATCTTTAATATGGAAACAACTTTTTAGCAATTCTGAAACATTCATTTTTTTCTACATGAATTCAGAATCCTACAATTTATTAAATAAATAAAACAAACATGCCTCACCCCACAAAAGTTGAATGGTCGTGCCTTTTTATGTTAAAAACAAATGTAAACATACCTTTTGGCACTTTGGGTTTCTTAAGTCTGTAAGCTGATAGCGCTTCACTGTATAAAACAATCAAATAGATAATAGCCCATAAAATCATTTTAATTTCAAAATGGAGTGCTAAAACTTGAAATAGACTGTATAGTGTTCTGACACTGAACACACACCGTTTACCACTGTTTTCGTCATCAGATACTGTTTAGAATTACAGATTACGATACAAAGCTACTTTAAAGACATTGGCTCCTTTATTACACATGAAGGGAGAAATTAGATAAAAAATGAAAAATGACAATAAAAGTTAAAGAAACCAGAAAAAAATAAACAGCTGTGTGGATAACAAGGCTATTACACTGCAAACCAGGCAAAAACAAATTAGGATTATCTTTATTTTATGATAGGAAACAGCTTACCATAACATACCGTGAAAGAATTCAGAATGCTCTTAATGACGTCGGATTGGTAAAATTGATTTGTTTTTATCCTTTTTACATGTGACTGATATATATGGAGTACTTTTGATTTGTTTTAAATTGTGTATTTAATGGTATTGGTCATTATAGTGGACGTATTTGGTGTATTTGACATTAAATATAACGCTTCCCACACAAAAATATGTTTCTATGACTATAACAGAAAATGTTAAAAAAAACTGTTCAAGACTTACTTATAATAACAGATAATATATTTTTAAGTGCAATATGGTTTTGTTTATTCGCCTGTATAAAAACTACAGAGTTATTCAGTGCGAGTTCATTTGACAGACATTTGGACGTCAACAACTTTCAGATGGGAACAAATAAAAGAAAATCCATACCAGAATACATCAAATATAATATGCACATCAACATGTTTCAAGATTATGTTAACATATTATTGTTGCACTGTACAATTGTCATTATTCTTCAATCCACTGGCACATTTATCAATGCCATCAAGTATTCGTAGTTCGAAATTATTTCTATGTACCTGTATAATTATGGAATAGATCAAAGCATGAAAGCGCTGTAAATGCAGCTGCCATCTTACTAAATTTTATTTTGGTGACTTGTAGTTTTAAAAAAATGCATCCTTATGTAATGGAATTACAACTGACAGGACCCTATATTGATCAAATTCGGACCATTAGTTCATCAGTTAAAAACCTTTTTAGAAGGGGCTATCGACATATGAGGTTTACGAAATTGAAACTTTTTACTTACCATGAGCAACTTGACGGATGTTACTTGTTGAGTAGGATTTTCTTACCCTTCTGGAGCACACTAGAATGTCCAGAGTTTTTGGTGAGGTTCGTGTTGTCTCCTTGTTTTTATGAAGTGATTTGTAGAGCTGTAGTTTGTTTTGGCCATATATATATAGAGTTGTCATTTTCTGTTCGAGGTCGACATAAGAGTTTTGAATGACCCCTTCGTATCTTCCGCCTTTTTAAAAAAAAAAATCAAATGTCACAGATTTTTTTAAACAAGTCGAACGTTTTCTTTTGTTTACTACGCTATAGGTATAAGTAAAAAAATCCCTCTTTGTTTAACAAGTAGAAGGTTAAGCCCATAACTACATGTCACGAAATAGTTTCATCAAAACTGAATAACACCAGTAAAATGATTGTAAAACACTGTTAAAAGTAATGAATGAATTAAAATGCGATTAGCTATCACTTTGTAGTAAAATGAAATGGGGTATCGTACTGAATCCGATTTTATTCGTCGTTTATAATCACGTAGATAATTCCTAGTTTTTATTTACCGTCTCAGACTCGAGTAACATATATATATTAATATAAAAGTAAGGAGATGTGGTATGATTGCCAATGAGACAAGTTTCCATAATGCTAGATCGATAGCTTACCCCAAAACAAATAACAAAAATTATTATCCGGAATCCATGTGCATTGGACACACGTACAAAGTGATGACTATATTATTAGTGGAGCAACATGGTAATGTCAATTAAAGACAATAACCCCAATAAGTAGTCAATCGACCATCCCTATGTTTGCTTAAAAATGTTGTCTTGCTCTTCATTTTTGCCATTTACAGTTTTTCTCAAGCTATAATAACCAAAATTTGGAAACTTCGTTAACAAGAGTGCACACGCTGAAATGTCTCGCCTGTTTTATTGATCATTGAATTCATGTTGAAAGTCTGTAAAATGAAGGTTTTACTACAAACATAACACAAACTTAACATTATCAATGTTCTATGAAAATGAGGTCAAACCATGCCAGACAGACATGCATACCTTACAATCATTCCATACACAAAATATAGTGGTCCTATTGCTAATAGTATCAGAAACAGACCAAACCACAAAATCTTAACATTGACCAACTATTATGAACAATGAAAATGAGGTCAAGGTCATATGAACCCTGCCAGACAGACATGTACAAATTATAATCATTCCATACACCAAATATGTTTGACCTATTGCTTAAAGTATCTGATTAACTGACAAAATTACGAAAACTTATCATTGACCAATGAACCATAAAAATGAGGTCAAGGTCATATGAACCCTGCCAGACAGACATGTACATCTCAAAATTGTTCCATACCTTCAATATAATTGACCTATTGCTTATATCTGAGAAATAGACCAACCAAAAAAACACTAAAAATTGTCCAATGAACCATGAAAATTAGATCAAGGTGAAACCTGCAAGACGGACATGTACACCTGACAATCATTCCATACACCATATAAAGTGGCCCTATTGCTTATAGTATCTGAGAAATAGACCAAACAACAAAAACTAAATATTGTCCCATGAACCATGAAATTGAGGTCAAGGCCAGATGAAACCTGTCAGTTTGACATGTACACTTTACAATCATTCCATACACCAAATATAGTTGATCTTTGGCTTACAGTATCTTAGATACGGACTTGACCACGCAACTTTAACCTTGAACACTGACAGGCATGGGGTAATCGTAATCAGTAATCGTAATCAGCTGTAATCGATTACAATTTTCAATGTAATCACATGTAATCAGTAATCATGCAATCTCTGATTAATTGTAATTGTAATTTAATCGATTACAATGTAAAACAAGTGTAATCATGTTTACTTTTAGATTACTTTTTGATTACATTCATATGATTACTTGCCGATTACAAATTTTGTATATGAAAATAGTTTTTGATATACAAGCATGAATAAAACAAAATTTCAAACTAGTATTTACTATTATTGATTCTATCTATTTACATAAAAACATTTTATGTTCCCTGATGGAACACTTCTGATATTAACTCTAATTTAAGCTTACACAAAATTTTGTTATAACTACATGGACATTCATTTCATTTGAAGATTAATTTGGGGAATTTGATTCCAATTTTGACTGTGATGATCGAAATAAATGAGCCCACTTAAATAATTATGGAATTTAGAACCAAATTCTGTTTTTTTACAATTTGTATAAATTTTGTTTTCCATAAATATTTTTAATATGTGCTTTCTAAGCATATCAGGTATTGAAATTTTTCATAGACATAATGAAAATAAACTACTTATAACTTAATTAATAATTGCAATATAGACAATTAATTTTAATACCCAAGCCCATTGTTTGTCTAAAAAATTGAAGTAGTGACTAACACCTGTAAAAACATATGTATGTGTCAATGAAGTCCCAACAGACAATAAAACTATTTGATTATTAACTTTTCATTATACATGTTATTTGTTCAGGTTTTTTTTTAATTGAAAATTTGCAATGGGCTAAACAATAATATAAAAACAAAGTTATTTCTTTTACAGAGAAATGACACTTGTCTGTGCTATCAAACAATACACATGTTACAGTGCTCCAAGTCCAAGTTCTTAATAACATGAATATGTAAGCTACATACATAAATTAAAAAAAAACATGATTTTTCAATAAGTAGCTTTTTTATGTAGGGATAAAAAAGTTTGTATAAAATTCTGAAATATCACAATGTAATTGTGAGTAATCTAAAGTAATCATGTTTACTTTAAAGAAAAGTAATCTAATGTAATCAATTACATTTGAATTGATGTGTAACTGTAATGTAATCGATTACATTAAATTAGCGAAGGTAATTGTAATTTAATCAAATAAATGCATTTCAAAGTAATCGACCCCATCCCTGATCACTGATCCATGGAATAAGGTCGAGGTCAGGTGAACCCTACCTGGCAGATATGTAGACGTTGCAAGGAACCCCTTTACCAAGTATAGTTATCCTATTACTCATAAGTACTTCACTTAACAAAAAAGAAACTGTTTTTTTTTAAGCAATCACTAAACCATGAAAATGAGGTCAAGGACATTAGACATATGACAGACGGAAAATTCATAAATAAGGTATCTGCATACACTGTATGAAGCATCCAGGTCTTCTATCTTCTGAAATTTAAAGCTTTAAACAAATAGTTTATGCCGTCGCCGAGGTTGTTATACCTATGTCTCGCTTACTGCGATTTTCTTTGCAGGCAAGACAAAAATGGTCTTTTCATGTGCAAAAACTAACTGGTTTTTCTGATTTTTCTGCAAATTTCAGGGTAGATCTAGTGATCAATCTTACATAGTTTTTCTCTAACTGCTTTAGTTTTTGAGTTATAAGCCCAAAAACTGCAGTTTTAGCCCAAAAACTGCAGTTTTATCCATAGGCTCTATTTTTTAACCTGTTGTGGCCATGCTATTTATCGTATAGGAACAATATTATAATAGTTAGCAGATAATATGCCATACATCATTATTGCTAAATTTCGAAACATTTTGGGCTTTGTGGACTCAGATATTTTTTTTAAAGTCACGACAGATGACAGAAGCTCACTTGGACCTTAATCTGGAAATACCCCAAATCTTCAAATAAACCATAAATCATAGTTTAAGTCCATCTAAAGTGACAAACAATTATTGAGTAAGATTAAGGTTTTCATATAATGGAAACATTTAGTAGTAGATGATAAGGATAAGGAAGCAATAAATACCACAATTGAAGAGACAGATAACACCATGGGCAAACGAAAAAAGATGAACAAACAAAAGTGGACAAAATATTATCATTGGGACATTGTAGAGAGACTTATTTTACACTCACCATTATATGTGTGGATATTACCCTGGTGCAAGTAGTCCTGAATTATAGACTGTTTAGGAGGTATAAAAACTCAAAGGACCAAAAATATCAAAGGCCAATTGAGGGTGCCAGGGCCCACCACTCACCCCCTCTCGTATGAAGAACACAAACAGGCAAACATGGTTAAAACATAGATATCTTTTCATCCATGATATAAATAATCACTTAAAAAAACTAGTTGCTCTAAAATGCCTGTTTTGCTCACCTGGGTGAATGTGTATCTTCTGTAATGCCAAATCTCCAACATTTTACAATAGAATATAATTCATGACTAAATTACTTTTTTCTGAATCTTGTATTTGCTGAAATTTTTTTCTTCTGTATACCAGTATCGACCGTAGTTTTAACCCAAAATGCCAAAAAATTGGGTACAAATCTATTTCTCCTTTAATGTTGGCCTATTTCTAGATCTCTTCTTGCTGATCATTATGACTTTTACTGTTTCTCTATTTCTTTTTATCAAATGCAAAAAATAGGTAACTAGAGGCTCTAAAGAGCCTGTGTCGCTCACCTTGGTCTATGTGCATATTAAACAAAGGACACAGATGGATTCATGACAAAATTACAAAAATTTACAAAATTTATGAAAATTGTAAAAAGTTGACTATAAAGGGCAATAACTCCTTAAGGAGTCAACTGACAATTTTGGTCATTTTGACTTATTTGTAGATCTTACTTTGCTGTACATTATTGCTGTTTACAGTTTATCTCTATCTATAATAATAATCAAGATAATAACCAAAAGCTGCAAAATTCAGGGGCAGCAACCCAACGTGTTGCCTGATTGGTCTGAAAATTTCAGGGCAGATAGATCCTGACCTAATGAACAATTTTATCCCTGTCAGATTTGCTCTAAATGCTTTGGTTTCAGAGATATGAGCCAAAAACTGCATTTTACCTATGTACTTTTTTTTAGCCATGTCGGCCAACTTGGTTTGCGGGCGGGGTCATCGGACACATTTTTTAAACTAGATACCCTAATGATGATTGTGGACAAGTTTGGTTAAATTTGTCTTAGTAGTTTCAGAGGAGAAGATTTTTGTAAAAGATTACAAAAATTTACGAAAAATGGTTAAAAATTGACTATAAAGGGCAATAACTCCTTAAGGAGTCAACTGACCATTTTGGTCATGTTGACTTATTTGTAGATCTTACTTTGCTGAACATTATTGCTGTTTACAGTTTATCTCTATCTATAATAATTTTCAAGATAATAACCAAAAACGGCAAAATTTCCTTAAAATTACCAATTCAGGGGCAGCAACCCAACAACGGGTTGTCAGATTCATCTGAAAATTTCATGGCAGATAGATCTTTACCTGATGAACAATTTTACATCAGTCAGATTTGCTCTAAATGCTTTGGTTTCAGAGATATAAGCCAAAATCTACATTTTACCCCAATGTTCTATTTTTAGCCATGGCAGCCATCTTGGTTGGTTGGCCAGGTCACCGGACACATTTTTAAAACTAGATACCCCAATGATGATTGTGGCCAAGTTTGGTCAAGTTTGGCCCTGTAGTTTCAGAGGAGAAGATTTTTGTAAAAGTTTACGGACGATGGACGACGGACACAGGAAGACGGACAACGGACGCCAAGTGATGAGAAAAGTTCACTTGGCCCTTTGGCAGGGGTATAAAAGTGGACGCTTATCATCTTATACGATATTCAATTGCATCCATAAAGAATAAAATGCTCCACAGGTCGCAGCTTGATACGACTGCAGAGGTCAAACCCTGAACAGTTGGGGGCAAGTATGGACACAACATTCAAGCTTGATTCAGCTCTAAATTTGGATTGTGATTAAATATTTGCAAGGCATAGATTGCTGACACAGAATGACTGTGGTCTAAGAACTTATAAATTTAAAATTTACTTCTTACGGTCCAAAATCCAAAATCTACATACATGGTTAGATTCAGCATATCATAGAACCCCAAGAATTCAATTTTTGATGAAATTTAACAAAGTTTAATTTTGAACCCTTTGGACTTCATTGTGGACCACTTTGATGACAGAGCCCAAAATACAAAATCTAAGTACACGATTAGATTCAGCATATCAAAGAACCCCAAATATTCAATTATTGTTGAAATAAAACAGAGTTTGATTTTGGACCCCAATTTGGACCAACTTGAAAACAGGACCTAAAATCCAAAATCTAAATTCACGGTAAGATTCAGCATATCAATAATTCGAGACCATTGATATTAGACAAGAAATAAGCAATTTATACAAAGTATTGGAAAAGTATTGTTTTTGGCCTCTTTTTCCAAACCGATTAGGGCCATAACCCCCAAAATCAATTCCAACCTTCCTTTTTTGGTATGGAACCTTGTGATGCAATTTCATAGAGATCCATACATATATACACAATTTATTGACCTGAAACAAGAAAAATGCTTATTTTTGGCCCCTAATCCCTAAACAGTTAGGACAATAACCCCCAAAATCAATCCCAAACGTCCTTTTGTGGAATTGAGCCTTGTGGTACAATTTCATAGAGATCAATACACTTATACTCAAGTAATTGTCTAGAAACCAAATGTCTTCAAACAATAAGGACAACAACATCCCCATACCAATGAAACAACTTCGATAGTCACTTGATGTTTTTGATGCTATTCATTAACAAATTTTTCAATTCCTTATTGAACTTATGAAACTTAAGTTGGAATGCCCAATGCATATGTAAAAGTATATGGCAATTAACATGGAATAATTGCAATTGACTTTGGTAAACACAACACACACACATTAAAGTATTGTAAATTGTTTAATATTTTTATGAAATTTATTTATATTTATGGTAAAAGAACACACTTGTATATGTCAAAGGAATGTTATTTATATATAGTCTGCCTAATTGTTAAACATTTCTAAAATGCCCAGTGCTTCTTGATGTTATTAAAAATTGTGCTAAAACCTCAAATGAATATCATCTTTCTTTTCTTGACCTGTAAGCCTCAATTACTGTTCTCACTCCTTTCATATTAGTGAAAATAAATGAAAAATATGGAAAAAAATTTCAGAAAAATTTATTTGTGGATTGAGTAAGTTTTAATTCCTCAATGTAAAATTTTTAACATTTGATTACTGTATGGATATCTCTCGTTCTGCATACAACCTTTTTCATGATACGATTAATATCCTTCAAATTATTTGAACATTATGTCATCCAGGTGCTGTTTGTAGCTTCAGATAAGGTATGGGTTTTTGCTCATTGTTGAAGGCAGTACAGTTACCTATAGTTGCTAACTTCTAAGTCATTTAGTCTCTACTGGAGAGTTGTCTCATTGGCAATCATACCACATCTTATTCTTTCTACATAATTCCATTTTTACCCCAATGAATCTGACACACCACAATTCTGTATTTTGAAACAATAGGCTGTTGAGGTTCATTAACATTACTGTTTGCATATACAAATTATATGTACCTATAAAAGACAGCTTGTCTTTAAAGACTATTCAGACCCACTGCTACAGCAGTGGTTTACGGTAAGCATAAAACTCAGCACTTTAATACACATATCACACATCATACATATGCTAAATTATACCAATATTTAAAGAAAATGAACACAAGTTGCATATACAAACATTAATAAAAAATAAATAAATTAGGATCAAAAATGAAAGTTCAAACAGACCTTAAACCTGTTTTCAAGATGCTAATTTAAATAGAAATCTTGCTAAACTATTAATAGAAAAATGTTCTTGTCAATATAGAAATGTTTTAACTATTTACAAAAAATTCTTGTCAATATGGAAATGCTTTAATTATTTGGGAAAATGTGTTTCTCAATATGGAAGTGTTTGAATTGTTTTAGGAAAAATGTCCTTGTCAACATGGAAATGTTTTAACAAGGATCAAGGGTTAACATGTAAATACAGAACGTGTGTTGCAATTTTAAAACAGAATTGTCCAGCAACATACAATGTTAATTCTGATAAGATTGCAATACTACATAAAAGATATCTATGGTCCTTTCAAAGTTTGGGAAACCATTAAATGTGCAATGTTTAGTAAATACTAGCTTTTTAAACTATCAGTTAATTTGGTTTCTTTATGATAAGTTAACTACCTAGTCGTTAATACTTAATTCAAATTATAACTAAATACGACATATTGCTGTGGCACATCTCAAACATTCTATGAGGTAATGCTATAATGTTATGTATATTATGCAAGAGATTAAACTTTGAGAGGACTTGAATGTAAAATTAAATATTACTGATTTCCAAAATGTTTGTCAGGTGACTTCAGTCATTCATTCTAATCTAAATATCTTGTACTGTCGAACAATGAACAACAGTTGTTAGTTACTGTATTTAAAACTATGAAGTTGACAGTCAAATGAAATGTACAATTAGAAACAAAGGAGTGCAACACCTAAAGACTACCCTGATTTTCTGACGCAGCAGATATATCCCTTTTCTATTTCTGAAATCTCTAAGCATTACAATACTGATTGATGATCATATGAAATACTGGGATTTTTTTTAGATCATATTGGAGAAATCTTTAATAAATTTGAATGGAATAAATGAAAAACACTTTATGAATTTTAATCATTTTATCTTACAATTTTTGAAAGGGGTTTATCTATTAGATTTTGATGTACTTTTGAAAGTTTTTTCTATCTGACTGTTTTGCTGTTCTTTCTATGTTATGTAGTTTTAAAATAAACAATCTGGATAGAATTGGAGTCATTTATATAAATAACTAGTGAAACATGCCTTACAGTCTGTAGAAACATCATCACACAGTGGCGGATCGGGGGGGTTCCGGGGGTTGGAACCCCCCTTTTTTTGGACGATCAATGCATTTGAATGGGGACATATAGTTGGAACCCCCCCTTTATCCTGGGTTAGGAACCCCCCCTTTTATAAATGGCTGGATCCGCCCCTGTCAGAGTGAAAAGGAAACAATCCATTGTGACCCATTTGCAGTGCATCTCTACCAAGCTCATTCAAACAACTTATATATAAATCTAGCGACTCAAAGACTCATCACAAAATAAGTTCTTTGATTGAGAACAACTAACGTCAAAAAATATAAATACTCATGAAAATTATATACATAAATAAAAAATACTATTTTAAACACATTGCTTGTAAAAAAAAAACAATAAGTAACAAAAATATATTCTCAACAACATTATAAAACTAATAAGTTATTTAACGTAACTAGGTAGGAGCTTAACATTGTATGACATTACACTTGGTTGTATTACTGTCCACATTTATTCAAAGTCAAAATTTCTAAAAATTCTTGCTTGAATTATATATTCATTGTAAATACTTCTCTGTAAAAGTAACAGTTGATATACACAATATAACTTTAAGAAGTTTTTCCACATCCTAATATCAGTATCAAATGACATTTCGTTAAACATTTTAAACCATTATGTAAAATCTTCTTGGTGAAAAACTTTTACAATAATAATGGTCCCACAGGTAAATAAATGTGAAAATGTAATACAATATAATGTTTAAGCCATACTCATCTACCAGTTTTAACAATTCACATTTATACATCAAATCTATATCCTTGTTCACAACATTGATTGGTGTGATTTTGTACATGTTAGTAATTATAATACAAAATGGAAGGGCTGTTTTTAATACTATAAAAATGTATCATTCTAATGCTATGGTTGGAATGTTTGGAATTGGACGGATTTATGTGCTATGTTTCATTTCACAACATAAATCATAAAATAATTGGAAAATATTTCCAAACAATTTAATAAACTGACTTTATTAGGTGGTGAGGTAGGAAAAAATCTCAAACCATTTCTTCAGTGAGAGGCAAGACATGTTATCATATACAAATAATTTGCTACACACTTCATATAAGTCATTCCATGAAATTTTACCCCATTACAAGCACAATTATTTACACCAGAAATTGTAAGGTTATCAGAATTTGCCAGTAAAAAAAACAAGTCATGATTTATTGTGATTCTTTTCCTTAGAAATGGGAAAAGGTTGGATACTTAAAAACTAATTAACCTTGTCAAGGGTGATATTAAGTTATATCTTTATGTTTTCTTTTGTCTAATTAGAGTTAAGATCTGTTAAACATATCTTTTTTTAATTGGTGGGTTGTTGTCAGTTCACGTAAATCTCACATCGCCCTTTTTATTCATATAAGGTGCATTTCAAAAAGAAAATATAGAACTACATTCAGTTTTCATATCCAGCCACATTGCTAGACAAAGGGAGATAACTAATGTTCACTACATCTCCAACCCCAACGATTTTTTTTGAAAACCAATTAATGAACGAATTTGATATTTTAAAAACTACATGGAAATATGACAAAATTGCAAATAAATCTACTTTATGAAAAATGTCAATTACAAATGAAATTGGAATAGAATCACCTCAGCATATGTAGGAGTTACAATTATAATGAATAATGCTAATTTCTGAATGCCTTAATTTCTAAACAGCAATGTATGGCTAATCCTTATTCATTTTTTCAGTCATGATTGTGTCAAAAATAGAAATTCTATCAAATACTCACTCTTTTTACAACATTTTTATTCTTTCTGCACAATAAATATTTTTTAAAGGTAAAATTTATTGTTGATAAGCCCTCTATAGTACATTACAAGTTGTACCACGTAAACTATCTTAAATACTATACAATTTACAAGGGTATTCTTGGAATCTAATTCCAACAAAACATACAAGAATTGTGTCGGACATCATTGTATTACCTCATTCCTATAAATAGATCACCAACATGGAAATGTACAAATATCAGCAGTATAGTTTTGCACAACCATTTTAAACCAATCACAGTTTTTTCGTCTTTTACAATTAATTCAGATCTCTTATTTACCACCAAGTCATTCCACTTTTTTTTACATCCTCATATTAAATATGATAATGATTTGGTCCATTAATACACATAAAATCTAAATTATCCTTTACTTATTTTTGCTTGTTCTTCTAAAAATAACAATTGGTCCACTAAGAAACAATCACTGGGATTTTTAACAAATTTTCTAAGTCCTTGCATAATGTCTTCTTCGGCTGAATCCAATGAATTTTGCTTTTCATATCTTGCTTTCTTCAGGTAGGTGTATGCCTTTTCAAATGCTTCTTCTCCAAGATATTTCTGACATTCACTGAATCCAAGTTAAGGAATTCTAATTTTTTTGTATTTAAGAATATTTTATTATTGATAAATATTACTTAGCTAACTTAGTTTACCAATAAATTACTACTTATTCATACAAGCACTTAGTGCTTTAGTTCAAACTTCTTTTAATCATAGCATTACCTAATTTTTTATTTCATAAAATGCAAAGTACAAAAAAAAATAAAACAAAGTGGAGATCAATCAAAACATTAAATATAGAAATAAATCAATTGTAAACAACAGCTAATCCTATCAACCTTATCTCCAACTATTTTTGTTAGTTTCAATAACTTTGATATAACAAACATCAACTGCATAAATATATATATATATTTCTCTAATTCTTACCCGATTTATCCTTTTCCTGACCTGTTGATTATTTTTATTAAATCAACATGTAGTTTGTTTGATCTTAGTTCTTCATTGGTCAATATTCAATTATGACGTCAAATTTTCTTGCTTTCCTCTGAATTTCTTATTGTGACGTCATGAAAAAGGCGATCATGTCTGATGACGTCACATAGAAAGAACACATCTTTTGCAGATAAGTCGAAAAGAAGTTTTAAAAATTGTCTGTATATCGCCTATAAATCATTAAAGATGCAGATCCCACCACCTCGTGTAATACAATATTTATCCACTCTCGACGCTTAAATTTTAAATAGTTAAAACCCTCAGCCAACCTTGTGTTCTAAATTTGAAAATTTAACTGTCTTGAGTAGATAAATATCATATCACACTTGATGCAGTGGTAGAATCTATATATATATGTAGAAATCTGAACCGCGATGGCCACGCTGATGTGCGATGGTTTAACGCTGAAGTGCGTTTTTGATCACGCCAAATTGCGATGGTGGCATTGTGATGCTATCTTGTTGGTACCTACGCCGAAGTGCATTGGTGGTTACGCTGAAGTGCGATGGATTAAATAATTCATATTTTCAATGCTTTTCATGTTCACATGCCGATGTAGAAGTCAATTTGTTTGTAAGAAGTAGCTTTTTGTTATTGTTTTACATGTACAATATCGAAAGTATAACCCGTTTAATTAAAACCAGTCATGATAAAAAGTCATTGCATTTTCAATTTTGACTGTAACGGCGTAGTGTACATTATACTTTGTAAATAGCTTTAAAAAAACAGTCATTCATACAATTGTTCAGAAACTGATGCTACATGCAGAAGCTATTTTCCTTTAAAACCAGTACCCATTACAATGACTAAAAAATGTGGTAGTTGTTTTAGATGCAAATACCTATTGGTAAGTCAGACAAAATAAATGAAAAATCTTTACGCTGCTGTAAATAAGAGAGATTATCGATGTTTTTTACTGCAACTGGAGAAAAATATTGAACTTATGATATCTATATACTAAATTATAAATAAAAATTCAAGCTCATATTAATTGGACATCACACGTCTTATAGACCATCGCACATCAGTGAAAGGACCATCGCACTTCAGCGTCCCCATTGCATATCCGAGTCCTATATATATATATATATATATATGTGTTCTTGTCTGAAAAGGATACGCTCTGAGATTTTTTATTTTCTGTTCTCTAACTACAGGTCCAAATGCTCCTGCATCATGATCGTCTTGAAATGTCATGGTTGATTCTATAAAAGAAAATGAAATATGATAACTTATTTATAGTTATAGTTTGAACAAATATATTTCAAATGTATACCAAAAGTGAATAAAATGCTCCGCAGGGGCGCAGCTTGATACGACCGCAGAAGTCAAACCCTGAACAGTTGGGGCAAGTATGGACACAACATTCAAGCTTGATACAGCACTGAATTTGGATTGTAATTAAATATTTGACACAGCATAGGTTTCTGACACAGAATGAAAGTGGTCTAAGAACTTAAAAAAATTTTAATTTACCTATTCAAACCATATAATTATAATTTGCTTTTATATAAATCAGAAATAACCAATTTAAAATGGAAAATTTTAAAGAAAAAAAAAGGAAACCCCCCCCCCCCCCAAATTTTTTGAACCCCCTTATGATTCATCACCCCCAAACTCAATCCCAGCCTTCCCTTTTGTTGTATGGTACCTTGCAGTACAATTTCAGAGAGATTCATACACTTGAACACAAGTTATTGTCTGAAAACTAGGAAAATGCTTGTTTTTTGGCCCCTTTTTGGCCTCAAATTCCTAAACGTTTAGGGCAATTACCCCCAAACTCAAACCCAGCTTTCCCTTTGTGATATGGAACCTTGCAGTACAATTTCATAAAGATCCATACACTTACACACAAGTTATTGTCCTGAAACTAGAAAATAGCTTGTTTTTTGCCATTTTATGGCCCCTAATTACTAAAATTTTGAGGCAATTACCCCCAAAATCAATCCCAGCATTCCCTTTGTGGTATGGTACCTTGCAGTACAATTTCAGAGAGATCCATACACCTGAATACAAGTTATTGTCTGGAAACTGGAATAAACAGCTGCGCCATGAGCGCATGATACGCCCTTCGTCTTTGTGTGTGAATTTTTATGCAATAAGCATAAATAGTTTCTGACATATGGCGTGACATGCGAAAACCCCCTTTTTTTTTTTACAAAAAACTCAATATCTCTAAAATAAAATTTTGAATCAAAACCAAAAAGTATACAGATCTTAAGATTAATATAACTAAGAAGTGTGTAAAATTTTAAGCAATAATCATAAATCGTTTTTGAGATACGGCGCGACATGTGAAAACCCCCCCTTTTAAAAAAAAAAAAAAATCAATATCTCAAAAATAAAATTTTGAATCAAAACCAAAAAGTATACAGATCTTTAGATTAATATAACTAAGAAGTGTGTAAAATTTTAAGCAATAATCATAAATCGTTTTAGAGATACGGCGCGACATGTGAAAAACCCCTCCCCCTTTTTTTACAAAATACTCAATAACTCAAAAATAAAATTTTGAATCATCACCAAAAAGTATACAGATCTTAAGGTTAATATAACTAAGAAGTGTGTAAAGTTTTAAGCAATAATCATAAACTGTTTTTGAGATACAGCGCGACATGTGAAAAAAACCCTCCCCCTTTTTTTAACAAAATACTCAATATCTCTAAAATAAAATTTTGAATCATCACCAAAAAGTATACAGATCTCAAGATTAATATAACTAAGAAGTGTGTAAAGTTTTAAGCAATAATCATAAATTGTTTTTGAGATACGGTGCGACATGTGAAAAAAAACACACACCTGTTTTAGTTACTAAGTCCCGTAACTCAAAAAGTTTTAATCTTATTTTCACCAAAAAGTATACAGATCGTTTGACCATCAGGCCAACCTTAAAAATATGTTTGTTTGCAGTTTTCCGAAAAATATTTTATTTTATCAGCCAGAATAAAGTTTAAACAAGCAGTTTAACACAAACCGAGTTTCTTGTGAAGAAAAAAACATTTTAAAACAACAAACACTGAAAACCAACATGAAATGAACAGGCATTTTCAGGTAAACACCTTTTTAACCAAAACTGAAACCCAACATAGTGTCATTTTACAATTTATGACATAAATTTATGATATTATGAAATACTGGAACACTTATAAACAAGAAATGACTAGAATTGTTGTAAAGAAACATATTCACTGACATATATGCATCTTTACCAGAATGTTTTCATGAGTCGAGTATTTGCATCAGAAAAATGAAGATATTAAAGATAATTTAGGAGTGTGTTAAAAAAAATCGACCAATGAATTTTCCTCAATTGAAAAAAAAGACAACTTAAAAAAAATATATCAGACATCTGACTGTTATAAAGGTTATATTTGGAAAGATATGTTGATGCCAGGCTTTAATTATAACAAACAAAAATCTTAAGACTAGCTTTGGGGTGAAATCCATAGCACCCCATTAAAAGTAAATGGTCTGTACTTATATGTTTTGACTGCATAAAAAAATCAGAAGCATAGCTCCTAGCTAAGGACATATTTCAATTCAATTCACACAGGCCGCACAGTTTGGGTACTGATATTTAATATTGTAAGAGAGAGAATAATTGCAATGAGTGGGACAGCCCCCCTTATCCTAAAGGAGCATACTCATTGCAATGGATGATGGATTTGATACAGAGAGAATATATTTATTTCTCAAGCCAACCATTCATTTTCTCTACATCTTTGTGTAGTTTGTGTGGCTTCTTATTGATTTAACATTTCAAATGCGTCCTTCCACCGTACAGGCGTGTTTACAGGTATCCATGAAGTCACGGAGGAGTGGTTTCATCTTTGTCGTCTTCACGACGATTAAAAAAAATATGGCATACTTCAGGCTGCTGTCGAATTGTTGAACCACTGATATTGCATTTGGTTCCATAAAGTCAGTCTCAAAAGATTCTGTATTCGATTTGTTTGAGACAGAAACGGTTATCGTGTCGGTTTTATGAATATCCGCTGCATCATCGTCAATGATATCTGACATCGAAGACATCATTCCGTGTGCAATTCTGCCTGAATCAGTATAAACAGTTTACTGTGAAACTTTTCTGTATATTATCTGTCTTAAAATTGACAGAAGACGACAGAATAAAGTACTCCTCCATGACTTCGTGGATACCTGTAAACAATCTCCATGCGGAGCGTCTTTTTACCACAGAACACCACAGAATACCACAGAAGACCACAGAATACCACAGAACACCCAAAATATACCACAGAACTACACAAAATACAATAAAACTCTAAAATATACCACAGAACATTGAATTACTTTACAAAATGAAAAACTAATAATTCAGAATTATATTATTTTTATAATTCGGGCTACACTAATGACAGGACAATTGACCGGTTGAGATTTACATTTCTTTAATGATCATAACTTTTTTGTTATTTGGTAGATTTTTTTTTATATTTCGAGACCTTTGAGATACTAAACTATATTTTATAAAAATCTTTTGAAAACAATTTATAACAAAAAAAAATGATTTTCTATAAATAAATGTTTTTCTACAAAAAAAAAAAATGATTTTCTATAAATAAATGTTTTTCTATAAAAAATGTTTTTCTATAAAAAAAAAATGTTTTTCTATAAAAAAAAAAAAGGCTTTTTCTGTAAAAAAAGGTTGACTTGACATGATGAATTTTACCGGCGCCAATTACACTATTATAAGATTAAGCAGGAACATATATATTGACTATATAGATATACTGTTCCCAGGATTAACTTTGTTCTCCCAATTCTGAATGCCATCTGATTATGCAAGGTATAATTCAATTAAATGGTTTATTCCTCCTAAAATCTTGTATGTCATTTGTAAGAAATGCATGTAGAAATAGAAGGAATAGTTGAATAAACAAGGGATTCATCAGATTAGATTGTCAAAACATAATGCTTATTAACTTCAGGTAAATATTCATAAAACCTAACGAGTTAATTTTCATCAATGTTCAGTTTGAAAATATTAATAGTAAAAAATATAAAAAAAAGTTCTAACAAAAGGCTTTGGCACAGCTACGAATCATATTAACATCTGCAAATAAAAACACTAATTTCTGTTTATCATCAAAAGACATAAAATCACTATTAAAATGTGTTGCTTCATCAAATAATTTTTTTCTCTAAAATCGTCATATAAAGGACACGATAAAATAACATGGGCTTCATCTTCTAAAATATCCTTACATTAACTACCACAGACTCGCTCCTCTAAAAGTAATTTTTCAAATCTCCCTGTTTCGATTCTTAGTGGTGCTACACAACATCGAAATTTGACAAAAGAACTCCTTTGTGAAAATGACATTGGAATTGTACAATAAGTTTCCGTTTCAAAACTGTTCTTAAATAAATTATATGTTCGAAGTTTGTTACCAGCTTTACCAATCTAATTAAAATATAGATCTCTGATTTCGTTATACTACATATGAGCTTGTTTTCGTTGCCATTGTTTTTCAAAGATTGGAATAGAAGGAATATTTATTTTCAAAATGTAGGAATAGCAGGAAGACACCCAATTAAATGTATTTGATGTCTCAGGTGTGAAAACTTAAATGATCGACATGTTAATTGGCTTGATGAATTGGTGATTACGACGAGTGTCAAAATTAGATAATCTAGTTAAATTTTGGTACTTTTAATGTGCCGGTGAACTCGCTCAGATCATCATTTTGGACTCAAAATATAGAATCTATATAGTAATGCTACATATGCCAGTTTTTAATTATTTAGATGCAGTTCAACTATTTCTAAATGCATGCAAAATTTCGTAAAAATCTGAAATATTGTCCAATGACTTTTATTTCATCTCAAGTAAAGTATGTGTATACAATGTTTCATCTGAATTGCCGACAGTATTTGTTTTGAACTGCATCAAGTGTATCAAGAATCTATTCAGTGTTTCAAAAGCCAAGCTAATGTACTAGTTTGTGATGTCCATCTGAGTTGCCGCTAGTGTTGTCAGAGAACGTTTTCCATGGACAATGCTGGAGAAAACTACCAACATGCCTTTACACAATTTAAGGCTCTGCATAAATTCTATACATAAATTGGAGAAGATACACACATATCAAAAGAAAAGTCCCAAATCATCAAATTTGAAATTTTTGACTATTATAAAGACACACTTATAATGTTTTATTAGTCAACTCAAATAACTGTCCAACAACAACTTTAAATATCTTTTTGAAAGTATTTGGTAGCCCTTAAAGGACTGCTTTATATATTATTCAATATTTAATAATATACATGTACTTATTCATATTGTAACAACACTTAACATAAAATTAAACAAAAATGACAACCACAACGATAAATTCTGGTATATACAAAATAGATTTAAGATATAATTACGTTATGCATCTCAGTAAACATTCAAAAAAATGGAAGAAAAAAAATAACAAGAAAAAATTAAAATGTATTTAAAAAAAAAGTAAAATGTCACAAATATACCCCAGAATTACAATTGTTGTGACTTTAAATATTTTTGTATATTATGGTTTTAATACCGGTAGGTGTTTTTGGTATAGACGGTAGACCCAATAATAGGCCAATTCAGTTGGGGGCGTAGCGATAGTGAGTCGACCCTAAATAGAAAAATTAAATTTATTTGAATAATAAATGTCAAATTATAAAAAGAATTAACAATAACAATAACATAATGTCTGAAGTATTTATATTTCGAAGTTCTGTGGTATATTTTTGGTGTTCTGTGGTATTCTGTGGTGTTCTGTGGTATTCTGTGGTGTTCTGTGGTAAAAAGACGCTCCCATCTCCATGTGCTTTACCATTAAAGGGTCCGATGTACGCTTGACAGGAAGGGAAGAAAAACCAAACTTCAAACATGTAATTGACCTAGACTCGAAATCAATTCCGGAAACGACCCGAAATTCCGGATCGAGTCAATAGAAGTATTAAAAATAATTTCTTCAAATTAAAAGCAATAAAATGTTCACAGTCGGGCGGATTTTCGAAGGTCAGTCGGTAAACTGCAAACAAACAATATTTTAATCTAAGCCTCATAAGAAACAACTATGTTAAGTTTCATGAAATTTGGATAAGTCATTCTCAAGTTACGGTGCGACATGTTGACGCCGGACAGACAGACGCCGGACATTTGTATAACATAATACTTCCCGTCAAAAATTTGACGGGCGTATAAAAATGCTTATTTTTGGCCCCTTATTCCTAAACTTTTTGGGCAATTACCCCCAAACTCAATTCCAGCTTTCCCTTTGTGATATGGAACCTTGAAGTACAATTTCATAAAGATCCATACACTCACACACAAGTTATTGTCATGAAACTAGAAAAATGCTTGTTTTTTGCCCCTTTTTGGCCCCTAATTCCTAAAATTTGGAGGCAATTACCCCCAAAATCAATCCCAGCATTCCCTTTGTGATATGGATCCTTATGATACAATTTCAGAGAGATCCATAGACTTACACACAAGTTATTGTCATGAAACTAGAAAAATGCTTGTTTTTTTGCCCCTTTTTGGCCCCTAATTCCTAAAATTTGGAGGCAATTACCCCCAAAATCAATCCCAGCATTCCCTTTGTGATATGGAACCTTGTGATACAATGTCAGAGAGATCCATACACTTACACACAAGTTATGTCTGGAAGTTACAAAAATGCTTATTTTTGGCCCCTTTTTAGCCCCTAATTCCTTAACTGTTGGTACCACAACCCCCAAAATCAATCCCCACCTTCATTTTGTGGTATTGAACCTTATGGTAAAATTTCATTGAGATCCATTCACTTAAACTAAAGTTAGAGTGCGAAAACTATTGTGTCTTCGGACGACGACGACGACGACGACGCCAACGTCATACCAATATACGACCACAAAAATTTTTTTGCGGTCGTATAAAAATTTGTAAATTATGGCTTTATCATTTTTGTGTTGCTATAGAATCTATCAATATTGTATATGAATATTATTGATATGAGTAGCTAACATCATGAGCTTATGGAAGAAACAACTGCTTTTTATGCTTTATCTTTTTATAATTTATTTTATTTTATGTGTTTAATGAAAGTTTGTTGTTCACTTTCGTTGGGGCAAATTAGCAGAAATACTTTAGCCCTCAACAATTCTCTGTTTATTTTGAATTCAAACTTTTCTTGCAGCACATTTTCCCTTGAAAATACCACCTTTTAATATATCTATAGAAAAAAATTTGTATACCTAACTTAATTCAAGGTGAAACAGCTAAAGCAACAGCATCAAAATCTAAACAAATTTTTTGGAAATTCAAATTTCTTATTAAAGACCCTATACATTAACTATTTTAGTAAGTCAATAGCTTTCAATAAGCTGAGGTCCACATGCTGCCATGGAAATCTGCACATGTTGTCATTTTTATTTTTTGAGATGTACAATCTAATATTAGCTTCAAGAGGCTAAATAGTTGTGATATCTACAATTGCCATTGTTATACAAATATTCTTGCTTTCAATATTAGTTATTTGATAAAAGGTAGATATACAGGGTGAAAATTGTATCCAATATTACTCTGAATAGTCATGTGACTAAGTGAAATACCTGCATCATCCCCTTTATCAAGGACATCCTTTAAGAGTTCATAAAACTGGCCTTCCTCTCCGACAGATGTCGACACTGAGTTAGGCACAATTGTACCCTGTTCTGAATTTCTGTGTACAACAGTTTCCATCTCGTCGTCAGAACTTGATTTATCAAAATCTTCATATTGAGAATAATATGTATCAGCCAATTCTGGATTGTCAGGTATACCTGAAAATTAAGGGGAATAAAAACAATTACTTATCTACAGATTTTCAATTAATTAATAAATAAACACACTTAAAAAATTTCTTCTATAGATTTCATGCATTTTAAAGGACAAATATTCAGATGAATGAAAAAAAAACCTAATTGAACAATTTGAAAATAAGAAACATGAACTCAAAAACATTGTCATCTTTTGATTAGTATTGGACTACAAAAACCAATTAGAGGTATGAAAGTTTAATATATTGAGCAATGGTATTCCTAGTATAATACCCATCCTGTAATGTTAAATTCTACCATTCTAGACGGAAAGAGGATACACAGCTCAAATCTTATTACATCATAAGTATTCTGATTACTTATAAACAGTAAGTTTTATCAACTTAAATGCTTCAAAACTGATTGACAATTGGAACATTTTAATTCAGCACTGAATTTTACTGAGCAATTTTTTTTTATCAGACTAAAATAATGAGACTTAAAACGGAGATGAAAAAGTATACTAATTCTGAGTAAATTTTTCATTAAACAAAAAATCCGCGAATATGATGTTGTTTTCTTTTTCAACTAAACAAGGTGACATCATAGGTTTCCAACCTAAACACCAGCCTATTGTAGGCTTCTTGTATGCTTCAGAATATAATAAAATTTGACAAAAAGAAGATTCATCCAATCAAAACCATTGATACAAGTAATTGCATTAGGTTTATTGGGTTTTTTTTATCTTCCATATTCTTCCTAGTCTTTTTAAAATTTTTATATTAAATGCAGATTCATCATTTCTATTGAAACCTAAACAATTTCACTGGATGATATCATTAATGTTTCATTTTCAACCTGCCGTGATACAATAAAATATGCATCTTTTTTCTGGTATAAATGTGACACTGGACAACTCCATCTTATTTGTTTTATGAATGAAATTAAATGCAATCTTGATAAATTTTTGAATAAAAAAATTGACCACACAAATATGGTAACTACAGGGTAGAATAAAGTAATTGTAAGAAAAGTTGGAATAAAACCCTAGATTTGAAAGTTACTTTTTCAAAACTGATGTTAGTCTCAATAAATTAAGTGCCCTCTGGCATAATAGTTGGAATTACCTGGCTAGTTGAAAATACCTACTGTAAAATTCACATCTTTTTAAGTTTTTAATTAGTATTTTATTTCTGAACTATTAGAATAACAGAATTCTAAATATTGCCTCGGAAAGTGGTTATCCCATGTTTAGAGTGCCTTCCCTCAGTACCATTAATGTTTTAGGCAAACAGCTCTTTCATAAACTTCAGACTAACATTTGTACTTGGTCAGTAACATACATTGCATACTTTCCTCAAATAGAGCTTACATAAATTATGTAACCAACTAACCAAACCCTATCAATTGAAATTTAAACAGTAATACATCTGTAAATTATTACCATCTTTAAAATCTAAAGAAGAATTGGCCAGATCATATATCATCTTGTCTCTTAATGGTGTAATGGGTCGGTCTTCAGGTTTAAAGTTCAGTAAAGTATGGTGTTTCTCGGCACCAGTTAATGTTTTAGATTTGATTGTCTCTTCTTCTTCATCACTGGATTCTGTTATTTCATGCTGAATAAACACTGTGTAAGGAGAGAAAGCAAGGTGTCAAAAGCACACTATATTTAAAAAAACACTTCTACACACAAGCCCATTTCCTTTACAGATAAGTAATTATTCATCTTTATCAATTTATTTATTATGTAATGGGGGAAAAATCTTTCACTTACGTTATTGTTTACAAGCTATTTTTTTATAAATATATATATATATATATAGTTTACATATTAGAATTGGAATATTTGGAATCGACATTGTGTAAACAAAGTAAAATGAAAAATAATATAATATCTCAACTTTTCAGAAGAAAACAAAAAGTTTTTGAAAATTTTATAATTCATGCATAACTTTGCTTTATGAAAACAGGTGAACCTAAGTTATTGAGATACCAAAGTTGATCTGAGCTTATGTCTCCTTCATTAGTATGCATGCAATTAGTGCACCAAGGAAGGACAGATGAGTGCATTTAAACATCAACAAACTCATGCTTAACTAAACCAGTGCAAGAAAGTGCTGGTTGTCAATTTAATGACTGTTCAATTTACAGATTAAAAGGAAAAAGAAAACAATATTAAAAAACGAGTATCAGGAGTGAAATTGCCATTAAATTTGAAGGACAAGTAGATATTTTATTGATGTAAAAACTAGAGGCTCTAAAGAGCCTGTGTCGCTCACCTTGGTCTATGTGCATATTAAACAAAGGACACAGATGGATTCATGACAAAATTGTGTTTTGGTGATGGTGATGTGTTTGTAGATCTTACTTTACTGAACATTCTTGCTGCTTACAATTATCTCTATCTATAATGAACTTGGCCCAGTAGTTACAGTGGAAAATATTTTGTAAAATTTTACAAAATTTATGAAAATTATAAAAAATTGACTATAAAGGGCAATAACTCCTTAAGGGGTCAATTGACAATTTTGGTCATGTTGACTTATTTGTAGATCTTACTTTGCTGTACATTATTGCTGTTTACAGTTTATCTCTATCTATAATAATATTCAAGATAATAACCAAAAGCTGCAAAATTTTCTTAAAATTACCAATTCAGGGGCAGCAACCCAACAAAGTGTTGCCTGATTGGTCTGAAAATTGCAGGGCAGATAGATCTTGACCTAATGAACAATTTTACCCTATCAGATTTGCTCTAAATGCTTTGGTTTCAGAGATATGAGCCAAAAACCGCATTTTACCTTATGTACTATTTTTTGCCATGTCGGCCATCTTGGTTCGCGGGCGGGGTCATCGGACATATTTTTCAAACTAGATACCCTAATGATGATTGTGGACAAGTTTGGTTAAATTTGTTTTAGTAGTTTCATTGGAGAAGTCTTTTGTAAAAGATTACAAAAATTTACGAAAAATGGTTAAAAATTGACTATAAAGGGCAATAACTCCTTAAGGGGTCAAATGACCATTTTGGTCAAGTTGACTTATTTGTAGATCTTACTTTGCTGAACATTATTGCTGTTTACAGTTTATCTCTATCTATAATAATATTCAAGATCATAACCAAAAACGGCAAAATTTCCTTAAAATTACAAATTCAGGGGCAGCAACCCAACAACGGGTTGTTAGATTTATCTGAAAATTATAGGGCAGATAGATCTTGACCTGATAAACAATTTTACCACAATGTTAGATTTGCTCTAAATGCTTTGGTTTCAGAGATATAAGACAAAATCAACATTTTACTCCTATGTTCTATTTTTAGCCATGGCGGCCATCTTGGTTGGTTGGCCAGGTCACCGGACATATTTTTTAAACTATATACCCAAATGATGATTGTGGCCAAGTTTGGTCAATTTGGCCCAGTAGTTTCAGAGGAGAAGATTTTTGTTAAAGTTTACGGACGACGGACGTCAAGTGATGAGAAAAGCTCACTTGGCTCTTTGGGCCAGGTGAGCTAAAAATAATCAGACTAAATAAACTTGTTTATGCAATGTGTATCAGTGTGAAATGTAGTTGTTATGTTTTAACAAATATACAGATTATAAAAAATTGCTGCCCCTTTTGAGATTTAAGCCAAGTGGCCAATAATGGAGCAACAGTAGGGTACTCCCTTACATGACATGGTCGCTTTAAAAAATGCCTCAGGTCACCAGATCACCTTTTAAGCAAATTTAAGTTAGTCTTTTGAGTAAAGTTTTGAACATTTTCAAAGGTCACCTGCTAAACCTCCAAGGTCACAGGTTAAATTTGACCATTTTTGAGCCACATTAATGCCAATGTGCTTCATACAAGGAAATTGTTTAGTAAAGGCAGAGTATTAAAGTTGAAGTGACTAATATGCACATTATTTTCAGTTTTCTGCATATCACTTGAAAATATTTCTGTGTACTAATTTAGGTTGCTGATTATTTGATTTCTAAATCAACTTTGAGAAAAAGTTTTCATACGGAGCTGTGTAAATATATACAGAAAATTGACAAACAAAATATGTTGTAATCTCAACTAAATAGGAAGGTAAAGAGGTATAAAGTTCAATCTACAAGGAAATGTTAATAAGAAGACATCTTAGTGATAAAAATCCCTTATAACTGTTACACTAAATTAGTTTGTAGACTATTTTAAGAAATAAAAAAGAAAAGAAAAAAAGACTTCTATAGATCATAATAAAATTTAAGGCCTTTTTTTATTGTATCATTCTTTTAGTTTTCAAAAATGTAAGTGCATATTTACAAATTCCTAATTACTAGAACTTTACTACTACATGTTATTGTTGTAATTACAACAGAAGTGTAAACCAATGTGTAGTTAGTTATCAAACATACATGGTGCAGATCTAGTTCCAAAGTCTTTACTTTTATTGGGTTTTATTGTCTTGTCATCCTCACGGACAACCGTTAATGCCTCTCTGAATTTCTCTCCTTCACCTGAACCTCCAGCCCATGCTGGTACCTGGAAAGAAACAAATAAATTTAACAAACACACATTTTAAAAATATGGGCTAACCTTCTATGGAATTTGGGTCTCTGATGGAGAGTTGTCTCAATGGCAATCATACTACATCTTATTTTTATATTGTACTATTATACACTGTAAACTAACTTATTTTTACAGATACTTTTATTTGTGTTTATACCTTTCTTCACAACTTCACAACAATTCAATTTCACAATTTCCTAACTTTGTTGATATTTCATATTAGAGAGGATCCTATTTTGTAATATTTGTGATGACTGATATTCATATTATTTTTCTACTCTGAACTAGTTGGTTTACAGTATTATACCTACATAAAACTGAATGCACATAACATTGTTAAGACATATACAGCTATAACTACTGTCTGTACAGCTTTGATAACTTGTTATTGCATAGCTTTGAACCTTAATACAAACTTAACCAACAGTACTATGTATTTCTCTAATTATAATCTATAATTTCTCCTAACCCTAACAATGTGTTATGGTCAGCTCATCATATTCAAAATAAGACATGACAAATAAAACATTCTCATGTGATAAGATTGTGAAGTTCATTGAGAAGAGAAAAATAAATTTGAAAACAGATTTTTACCACTGATTTTAAGATAAATTTGCTACTTGGCAATAACTCCTCTCTCTCCAGCATACCTGACAAATAGATTTCCCTGTGCTTCAAATTAGAAAACAAGTAATCTAATGGATTTAAAGTAAAATGTTGTGTTTATTGTCGAAATTAAGTAACTTACTGATTGCATGTGTAAGGTTTTCTGAATCTGGTTTTTTCTTTGAATATTTTCAGAGAGCTGTAATTTGGCAGATTCCCTGAAAAAGATGCAATAATGCAATATATTTAAAATTGCTTTATTATATAAAACAGCATGGTCAATCAGGATGTTACAAAATACTGGTAGCTCCTCTATGGTTTCATGTTTCATATAAAGGATTCTGATGAATTTTACAGAGACATATAATTTTAGGCTCCACATAACCTGTATTTCTCACATGGTAATTATGCAAATTATCAAAACAGGTCACTGATCCTAGATCATCAGCAATAAGCCCTTTACAGGAATCCAGAATATGTCACTGTACCTAAGTGTATATATTTATTTAAAAACTTTGTACCAGGTATTTTTTTCAGTAATTAACCTTATAAAATTGGCACCTAAAAAAATCCAGTAACATGTTTTAGTGGTGCCAAAATTGTCTTCTCAGCTAACATAGAGGTATTTTCATTAAAGGGGTTCCTCCTTTTAAAATGTCAATCAAGAGCTGACAGAAATAAAACAATAACAGAACAAGAGAAACATGCTTTCAATTGAACAATAGGAAAACTGATCTGATAGATCTGAAAACACTGACAATTGCATGGTCTACAAGATCTGGGGAAACAATAAAACAGCAGGTCAAATGACCATCATTAGTGGCAAAAGTGTATAGAAAACATTCATGTTTATTTCCCCATCACCTTAGCAATATTCTTTTGATTATCTCCAAGTGGAAAGAAAGCCTACAATGATAATTGTTTTAAAAAAAATTCAAAAATTCAAACCTCAATCTTTCTGCTTCCTGGTCAGCTTGTTGTTGTTTTCTTATTCTCATTCTTTCTCTTGGAGGCAAGTTCTTCCATTTTTGATCTTCTTCCTTTTCTTGTAAATCTCTCAGTCTTGATTTTTGCTTCCTGCACAATGAAATTTCATTATGTATTTATACACTTCTGATAAATACTGTTTCAATTAATGACTAAACAAAGTAATTGTTCAAGTTGGTTTGGTGTTCTTAAATAGCAGCTACTATTGACAAAACTTATTTTAGATAGTTATTGAAAGGCAGCTTGTAGTTGTTTAAAGTGATTTTTTCCCCCCAAGAAACCATTAATCTTTAATTTTAAATAGAAATAGCTGTGAATGCCAACAGAAATCTTTTCGAAGCTTTAAGTTCTGTACATGTATTAGATATTACCATCTTTAAATGTCTTTTAAAAATACACCTAAAGTTATCTCCCTTTACACATAGATACAGTGAATTAATTCAATTTTGAGTACTGTGGATTCATTTATTTTCGTGGATATCAATTTTCGTGGATTGAGGAAATCTTGCATTTTCGTGGATATTTAATTTCGTGGTTTAGCTTAAGTCTGCATACAAACCAATGGAAAGTTTGTAAATAGTTGAACATTTGAATTCGTGGTTTACCAGTACCCACGAAATCCACGAAAATTGGTATTCCACGAATAATAATGAATCCACAGTAGCTGTTTAGTAATTGTTCCATTTCATGGACTTTATTCTGAATAGAAAATAAAATAATTAGCCATTGCACTTTATTCCACCAACAATAATAAATCATGCCATTAGAAACGGAGCCCCAGTATTTTCTTTTGAAATTCAATATTGTATTGACCTGAGATTACACACAAAAACATGCATCAATCCATCTTTGTATAGCCTACAAACAGGGGGGAGGGGGTTCTAGACCCTCTACAAGTATATATTTTCATTATTTGTCTTTATGCAGGAGATATAGTTCTTATATTTTAATCTTCTAATTTTAAGATTATATAAATGTATATCTAATTTGTATAAGAATTAGCTATGGATAAGCAAAAATGTACTCACAATAATTTAGCAATTTCTTCAGCATCTTTAGTAGCATGATCAGTATGTCTAGACTGATAATCCTGGGACATTTTCTGTAACACAAAAACTTATTCAATGGTGGCTTAATGTCAAATCCCAAACAAATTCCAGAAAATAAATAAATTGAGAACAGAAATAGAAAAATTCAGCAATTTTTCTATTTGTAAACACGCATAACTCTTGAACGGTTGTGTATAAGTTTTATATCATTTGGTTGAGACAAACTAAAGTTAAAGAATTGAAACGAAAGTTTTTTTTTTATGTTTATAAAGGGACATAACTCAAGAATGGTAAAAGTGTTGCCACGAAAGTTAGAAAACGGAAACGGAAACAAAAAATTTGTACTGGATCTTAGTTTTGTGGTAATGAATATTGTGTCTAGGTTTCATAATGTTTGGTTGGGGCAAACTTAAGTTACAGAATGGAAACTAAACATTTTGCAATCTTTCGATTTATAAAGGGGCATAACTCAATAATGGTTAAAGAAACACTACCCAAATTCAACTTGATCTGTGTTTTATCAGTGGAAGTCAAAATTAAACATTGCATTGTATAAAGTATTGATTGTAGTTGATTTAACTATAATCATGGACAAAGGAAGATAACTCCAATTTATCCAACTGGATACAACCGCAGAGGTCCAACCCTGACAGTTGGGGCAAAAATGGATGCAATAATCACGCTTGATACAGGTCTGAATTTGGATTGTAGTTAAAAATTTGACACACAAAAGATTTCTGACACAGAATTACTGTAGTTAAAGAACTTAGAATTGGTTATATGATTTGAATTTATATTCAATTTTTACTTTTGTGCAATACACTTTGCTGTTGCGAATTGACCCCCCCCCACAAAAAAAAATAGAAAATTTACCCCCCCTTTCTTTTTTGCTTTTGTGCAATACACTATGCTGTTACGTATTAACCCCCCCCCCTTTTTTTTTTTGCAAAAAAAAAAATATTTGAAGAATTTTTCTTTTTAATCAGTGATCGGGAAGGACGTGCGCCTTGCGTCAATTGCGCTTATCGACCAGAAATGGCGCATAGAGTGACAAATGTAAGCGCCCGCGTGGCGCATGATATTTTTCACTTCGTTTTGAAACGTTGAGATATCGTCAAATGGATTTTCGATCGTATTTTGTGCCGCCATGTGTGAGTACACAACTGTGTAGTGTTTACTCCAATGATAGGAGCACCTATATATTTTTGGGACGTCTAGGGTGTTTTCCTATGGTTATAATAGCAACATGCGGTATGATTGATTACCCAAAAAACGTAATTAACCATTATTCATGATATAATTTTTTATAAACAACTTTAAATTTGTGAAAATTGGCTAGTACAGGCGAGAATTCTTCTCTAATTATAACCTTTTAAGTAAGCTTGCTATTATTTCGATTGAAAAACCCAAAAAGCCTTTTTATGAATAGCATAGTATTTGTCTCTATAAAAGGGGCTTAACTGTCCTTGTCATTTTTTTTGGTCTTTGGCTCGTTTTGACATTTTGCAAACATGCCTTCAGCGAATTGTTGTTGTGTCTTATCAATTAACGTTGCTCTCTACTGTTATTCTTGTCATCGTAATGAAGTAATAACAATACAAGTGCAGATGAAATGCCAGAAACTTCCTCTAATACGGAACGTCTGGAATAAGTATGGTATCGACGAAGACCCAAATTTAATGTAAAAAAAAACATGAACATGAACAAGGGAACAGTACAAGTTTTAACATTGTAAATAAAGGTTATCGTAAATATTGCCCAGTTTGGAGAAGTTATTGTATATTCATTGAAATTGAAATTACAAAATCATAGGAACAATATCCATGATATTAATTAGAATCATACTTGTACGTACAGTGAAATATACACTTTTTTTATCTTTAGTTTTTATTGTAAACGAATGGCCCACTCATTTGACAACATGGCCCATTATTTCTAAAAATGGCCCATTGAATTGATTTTTGTGGGGGCCTGGGCCCATAGAGAAAAAATCCTTCCAGATCACTGTTTAATTTCTGAAATCTGAAATGAGAAAAAATTTACACCCACAATTTCTTTTTACTCCCCCCCCCCCCCCCCCCCCCCTTTTTCCCCTAAAAAAATTCTTTCCCTCAAGATATGGTCATAATCTCAATTCAAATTTCCCATGGAGTTTGCAACCATAATTACCCATTTAAATTTACCATAGTGCTAACTTAATCTATTTTATAATAGAATTTAAAATATGGTGTCAAATCTTTCATATGGATTTTTTTGTAAAAAAAAAGATGCAACATTTGCAGATATTTTTACTGGTCTTCCTTTATAAATATGCATTTCTTTAAACATAATTTAAAAGCAGTGTAAGGGAGGTAATCAAAACGTTGTATTTGGATTACCTCCCTTACACTGCTTTTAAATTGTCTTAATTGTTCATTGACCATTACTTTATACATAATATAAAAGCAGTGTAAGGGAGGTAATTCAAATGTCGACATGTTGACGACGGACAGACAGGCGGACGGACAATGGTATACCATAATACGTCCAGTAAACGCGCATATAAAAATTACTTGATATTTAGAAGAAAAATAAAATTTTTGCAATTTTTCCATTTATAAAGGGGCATAACTATAGAACTGTTAAAGTGATGCCACCAAAGTTCAAACTTGATCTGTGTTTTGTGGTAATAAGCATTGTGTATAAGTTTAATAACATTCGGTTGAGGCAAACTTTAATTAGATAACGGAAACCAATTTTGGGACGTACGTACGGACAAGGGTAAAACTTAATGCCCCCTCCGCCTTGGCAGGGGCATAATAAAAAAAATAATCAGATGTTTTCTTCAGATGCTATTTCTGGATCTTAAAGAAGCTTCAGTCCAAGTTTCATAACATTCCCTAAAGGTTTAACAAAATTTTAATCTCAGGCTGTATGGCAACGTTAAATTAAAAAAAAGTCCATCTATCCATAAAATTATATGTATCTTCATATAAAATTTTTAGAGAAAAAGGTCATCAAAGACTTACAGCTATATGATTGGCTAATAATGGTTCTTTTAATAAATCTGTTGCTGATGGTCTTTTCTCTGGATCTCTCTGCAACATTCTGTAATACATCATCTTGTAATGTACCAAATATTCAATAACAATGATGAATTTATCACAATTTCATATGAAACCAAATTTATTTATTTGGCAGAATTGCTCTTTTCGCACAAAAAAAATGAAGGAAATGAATGTAATCTATGTATAACTGGTAAATTATAGAGTCAAGGATTTTTTTACAACAAATTACTTAAAACTTTTACTAAATTCTACCAAAGATACAAAGATTTGGTTTGGAAGTTTGTCTGCACCTGTAGAAGTCTTATTTCAAACAGAATAGCACATCATAATTTTTACAGTGATGTTGTTCACCTAACCCGTAAATTTAGATACCATCTGGGTAAACTTATCGATCCTTTAAATAAACTTATTCTAAAAGGTTTCTAATTCAACACTGTAATTAGATCTTTTAATACTGTTATTATCTGAATACATATTGATTTTGTTATCAGTAAATTAAAACTAAACTAAATATTATGTAAATACACATATATACATTCATGCTTATACAATCTGTAGATACCTATATATTTTGGCATTTCACAAGGTCATGTTCTTCTCTACTGTAAATGAAGTCCTTACATTAAATCCTTTGGAAGTTGGATGTGTACTGATTGATATTTTAGTCTTAAGACACATAATTTTTTATTAGTTGTTATTGGCTTTGAACTAGCTTTCAGTATCTATGAGTACTCTCAGATCTGTATTTTGTGTTTTTATGTGCTTTGTAACAATCTGACGAGTTCAGCCCTTTTCAAATGGTTCTTATAGCATGTTAATATGGTGTACAGTTACACCACTGTCCCTAGTTAGGGGAGGGAAGGAGCAACAGCAAACATGTTTAACCCTGTCACATTCTGTATGTGCCTGTCCCAAGTTAGGAGCCTGTAATTCAGTGGTTGTCGTTTGTTAATTTGTTTTTTGTTTTGTACTTAAATCATGCCATTTGTTTGCTTGTTTGATATGTTTTACATTTGTTATTTTGGAGCCTTTTAAAGCTTTCTATGGGTTTTGCTCATTGTTGAAGGCTGTACTGTTAACTTTTATGTCCTTTGGTCTCTGCCACCAGGTGGAGAGTTGTCTCATTGGCAAGCATACCACATCTTCTTATTTTTATACAATTTGAAGAAAAATGTAAAAAAAAGGTTTTAATGTCACAAGCTTTGTCTACCATTAACCATGGTTACATGAAAAACATGACTTACCATTTTAGAGTATTACTGAGTTTTCTATAAATAATATTAAAACTTACATATTTAATACCCTGCTTATTTCACTGGAATACGTATCTGGTAGTTTAGGAGGCTCTCCCTCCACAATTTTGTACATTACAGCCATCAAACTCTTTCCATCGAAGGCATGACATAAAGTACACATCTCATATAGTATACAACCTATTGACCTGTTGAGACAAAAACAAACAAGGCGATAAGTAAGTTGACTTAACGGCTTTTTGGCTCCGTTTAGTGAAATACCCAAAAATGTCCAGAATTTAAGTCCCCCCCCCCCCCAAGAGTATAAGGTATATATCACATGTATCACATATGCACAATTTGAGTAAATTCTGACAATCCACTAAATATTTGATCGGAACAATCATTTCTTCATTTTGTCAAAAGCTATGATTGTGTCAGTAATTATGAGAGGGATATAGTAAGACTAAATTACAAATGTTATATTAAATTTCTGGTAAATATTTTAATATATTTTGTTTTTGTTTGAATCAAGATATCTCAAAAAATTTTGAATGTTGATCAACTATCCAGACCGCTGCAAACTTGACTAAGTAAAGGGGTAATGTATACTGTAAATTCATAAATAATGCATGGATTTATTAATTCAGTTCTTGAATAATGAATGATAATGTGACTTTAATTATTGTGATTTCAGGAAAAGCTGTTTACGATTATTGCTACAATAATTCTAAATGCTAGTTTAGTAAGACCTATCCCGTTGTTATTTTACCATGAATAAAAACATCACTAAAAATTCTAAATTTACAGTATTTAAAATAGTAAATTTATGAGACAAGAAAATAAAATATATCTTACCAAACATCAGATTTAGAATTGTACCCTTCATGTTTAAGAACTTCAGGACTCATGTAATATGGAGTTCCTGTAAAAGTGGAGGCAAGGTCAGCTGTTCCCATTAAGATTTTAGATATACCAAAATCACCTATTTTTACCATATTTCCTTTCAAAAATATATTCCTGTAATAATAAAGATAGATAACAATATGAATGTTTTAATTCAAGTCAAACTATCTAATTAACAAGCAAGTGACAACACAAAACCGAGCTGTTGAGACAGACTTCACAATCTATAACAAACAACGTTCTAATGTAACATTTTTGACATTGTAATGTTGAAAATCTCTTTGAATCAACTGGATTAATCTGAACATGTAAGTAGTCATTTCTGGCCACAGTGGTGATAAATAAGTATAGGCGGATCAAAGAGGGAGTAACTTCAATATCTTCCTCATAACGGTGTTCATTATTAGTTGTTCACCCTCGCCACATACCTGTCCCAGTTGGTTAAATATACAACTATAAAGTCTTTGACTATTGCTTGCAAATATCAAAATACACCATAATTATAGACGAAGTTTTCTTTTTATGATATTTTTTTTATGTGAGGGTTTGTTTCATTCTACTAACTTATGCTACAGGGTTAAATCAATCATAGTTACTTACCTTGATTTGAGATCTCTGTGTAGAATTCTCCTTGTATGCATATAATGCACAGCTAACACTAATTGAACAAACCAATCTAATATTGTTTTTTCTTCTAAATTTTTTTTTGACTTGGCTAATTCATTTATCTTAGCATCTAAATCACCACCCTAAAATTAAAAATTTTAAATCATGTTTTTAAGATTTCCTCTTTTATATGGTTCAAATTTTTTTTCCAACACCCCTTTGCTAATTTTTAAGGAAAAATTGTACATGTAGTGAGAGTAGTTGATTCTTTGGATTGGATCAGGGTCTAGAGTGTTTATATTGATTGATTGATTGACTGGTGTTAAACGCCACTTTTAGCTATTTCAAGACGGCCAGTTTTTATTGGTTGAGGATGCCCGGAGGGAACCACTGACATTTGGCGGGAAAACAGAGTGATTACACTTATACATGTTGTAAGTATTTGTAAGTTATAAAATCTCAAGAAAGTATTCTATTGTTTTTAAACATGTTTTAAAATGTAATCTTTACTGGTTTTTTTTAAATTAAATATCAATACTGTAGTATGACTTGGTTCTTTTTCTTAAATGAAGACCTTTGAGGAAAATGTGTTTTTTTTCTGGGTTCTATGTTTTTGTCCACGGATTTTGCTGATTTTATAATTGCTGCAGGAGTCATGATGTCACTATTTCATCAGTTATTTCACTTTAAAAACATTACTAAAAGGAGGAGCCCTTGAAACCTTCTTTCCTCTAGGGAAATGTCAGTTGATTTGTAGGTCAATGTCCTTGTCAATTACACACCTGTACTCCCACAATCATAAGCACAAAAGGTTTAATAACCTGAGAAAGATGTTGCCAACTTTTCATCCAGCAAAAATGACAGTCTAACATATGATTACATATCACAGAAATTTGTTACAAACTTTTGGCAGACCTACTGTAGTTTGTGATAAAATTGGAAATAAGAAATTGGTAGATCTTCATAGTATAACTGAAAATGTGCACATTCTATTCTAGAAATTGGTAATATGAGTTTTGTAGATGACACATTCTATCAGTTTAAAATGCAAGCAGCAATCATACAATGTAACAATTATGTAAGTGAAATAAGCGAGTTTAAAGTAATTAGTAATCTATACGAACTGTATCATCTTGATACGATCACAGAAATTTAAAGTCTTTTAGCACAATAAATTTTATTATACATTGACTATATACCACATGTACCATGAAGTAAAGTATTAAATAGTGTCATGTTTCACAGTTCATTTAACTATATCCTATATTTATACATTGATATGTGCATGTAATGTAAATCCCCCTTCACGTCCTTTAAAGTCAAATTTAATGACGCAAATCAGACTTAAACGTACAAATAAGATATAAATAATGATTGGGGAACAGGAAAAACATATAAACATCTGAGTTTTAGATCCACATTAAACATTAGTGACTGAAATGTATTTACTATGTATAAATCAGAGGAATTTGAATTTGACTGCTCTATCAAAATGAAATAAAAAAAACAAATAAAAAAATGATTTGCCAATCTTTGAACAATAAAAATGAGGTCAAGGTCAACTGCCACATTCTCAGGAAGGGGGGGAAACTTCAGACTATTGGCCATTTATATAATGTATACCGGTTTAGAACAATATGGCTTTTCTACCTTCTGAAATATTAGGCTTTATACAAAAGAAAATACTGTTGTTTTAGACATATTATCATACATTGTGTGTCTTTTCTTGCATTAAAATGAGAAAATATTAGTCCCAAAAATTTGCATTATCAAATGATATACGTTAAAAATAGGTGGAGACTATTTTTCTCCTCTACTGAATTTAAACAGAATATCTTGTTTTTTTCTAAACACCAACCTTCATTTTAAAGCAATGATAAAGTCTTATTTTTTTCTGAAAGATCCACAATGTACAGTAACACTAGCAAATGACACGTTTCCTCACTGATGTCTTGACCTTTATCTAATATGACTGCAAAATTTTTCTGTTATTTACTGTATTAAAGAGGGACTGGGTGGGGTTTGCAGAATAGAGAATATATAATGGACAAAAAAATACAGAATAAAGAAAAATAGGCAAAAAAAAAATAAAGAATAGAGAATAAAGAGATGTAAAATTATAAAGAATAGAGAATAATGGGGAAAATAAATAAAGAATAGAGAAAACGTCTAAAATTAAAGAATATAGAAATGAAGAAAAAAAAACATGGCATCACCAATGACAAAACCTCATAAATAAGTCTTTTAAAATTGGTTATTACCTCACAGTATTCTGTTACAATACAGAATGATTCTCCATCTATAAAACTGTCATGGAATTTAACAATCCCTGGGTGATTCAATTTAGACAAGACTTTGGCTTCACTCACAGCATCTACTGTTTCATCAGGTGCTAACTCTCCTACAGATATCTCCTTTAAAACTTTCCTGAAAATAAGAAAACATATAAAAACACTTAAAATGTCAATCTTTTTAAAACTGGACAGATATGTTCCCGATCATATGTCAATACACAAATACTAAAACTTTTAAATTTTAAGTAGGCAATTGTTGCCACAAAATATTGAAATTTCAAATGTTTGATTCAGTTAAGTGTACTGGAGTTTGCCTCAACTAAATGTTTGAAAGAGAAAGACCCAGTATCCCCTGTCATCAGTTTCACCCAAAGGGTTTTTGTTCAATAAGAAAGGACTAAGTATAGTACATGTACATGAAGTATGCATGGGGATATTTATCTTGTGGAAAAAATGAATGACAACTGACCTGTTACAGTATGCAGCAAAAATATTACTAAACATGCTGAACAGCAGCAAAAATATTACTAAACATGCTGAACAATACACATTTGGATTCATTATTATTATATTCCTTAGATACCAATTTTTGTGGATTTCTTGGGTACAGGAGAACCAAGCCTTTAAATGTTCAACAAATGACAGATGTTCTTCATTTTCAACACTGTTGGCTATATCATGGCTACCAGATTTTATTGGTGGAGGAAGCCAGAGTAGATCAGAGTACCCAGAGAGAACCACCTACAACTACTGATTTCTTGAAAAATTCAAAAATAGTATTTCCATCACCCTTCTATATGACTTTTCATCCTTTAATGATACATCCTTGTTGAGATACATTCGGGCAATGCAATGGATATCCTGAGATGTTACAAGTATAATACTTGTTAACCAGCAGAAAAAATTTTTTTTTACTTTCAAAAGATTTGCAAAATATACAGTATTTGGTTAGTGCCCGTATGTATTTGCTTATAATTGTCTTTCCATAATAGCATAAATGTACAATTGTACAAGCAAAATCAAAATGAGAATCTTCTGATATAAGTTCTTTTGTTAGGGACAATAATTCAAAAGTTCTTCCTGAAGGAGAAAAATTAATAGACATTTAAATCAGTTGAAAGTTTTGACAAAGAACATTAAGCATTGGAAACTGTTATATAATTATATCCTGTTTTGTACTTCAAAAAATCAATTATTTTATATTGAATTATAAAATAATGATATCAAAGTAAAAAAATGTAAATTGATATATTTTCGGATCAAATTCATTTTAGAAGTATCAAAATAATCATAGTTTGTTTATTTTCCATGTAATTCTTTTATTGCCAACCACATATTCAAAAAGAATGATGCAAACTGATAACTATGGCATAGCTTATAATCTCAGTGAACAGAAACTAATATGTATGATACACATATTAGAAAATTTGGTTGTTGAGGATTCTGTTGCTATTCAAATGATACCAAATTCATAAAAAGTTTCACTGCAATGTGGGAAATCCTTTTTTCTCAACCCTCACAATATTGGAGAAGGACTTTTTGACTTAGTTAACTTGTAATCAAATGACATAAAATATGTTAATTGTTTTACATTTGAATTTTATTGAAATGAAATATAATTGTGCATACTATTAAATAAAGGCAACAGTAGTATACCGGTGTTCAAGAGTCATAAATCGATTGAGAGAAAACAAATCAGGGTTACAAACTAAAACCGAGGGAAACACATCAACTATAAGAGGAAAACAAAGGAACAACAGGAACACTGAAGTGCAACAAAAACAAATGCCAACATACATAGAAACAAACTATTTGATAACAACTGCCATATTCCTGACTGGGTACAGGACATTTTAAGATAAAATGGTGGGTTGAACCTGGTTTAATGGCTAGCCAAACCTCCCGCTTATATGACAATGTTAAAAAATCTCGCTAAAATGACAACACTACATGACAGAAATACAGCACAAACACATGCAAGAACACTCATCACACTATTAAAATCAACAATTAAATAAAATTTTTAAAAAGAGCAATGTAAAAACCATTCCTGCTAAACCACTAGTACTGAACATGTCAATTGTAAATCAAATACATGATGTTAATTTATAAATGGAGCTGAATCTTTGTCTATATATGATTGCTTCCTATTAATTTCCACAATTACAAAAAAAAATATACTATAAAAATGTACAAATGTACATGCAAATCTGAGAACAGGACGAACAATATGTTTTGGCAGAAATCCATTACTAGGAGAAGTGTGCAGCCTGCTATATACAAGATATATAAAGTGTTGTCCAACTGTGATAGAAACAAAATTTTGACAGAATTTTTATTATTAGTACGTAACAAAAATCAAAAGGCCAAAATTATTGCAGTGAATGATCAAAAGCGATAATATATATGCAACACCCTATAAATTGATTAGCAGAGTTCGCGAAAACTTATTTTGACCCGTCGGTCATGGGACCGACAAAGCATGATTATTTGTCAGTCCTACAAAATTTTAGCCAGGCCTACAAATACTTATTGGAAACAGTTGCGGTACATCTAATAACCGATGTAAAAAAGTGCCGAAATTTGCACTACAACGGCCGTTTTTACATCGGTCATCAGGACCGGCACTAGCCTTCAAAATACTGGTCCGAGCCTCATTTTGACCGACCATTTTCGCGAACTCTGGATTAGCACACAGCTGAAAATGGCGTTTAGGTCATAGATGTCTTAATGAATAGCAGATAATAGATACCATCATGACCATAGTCAAATTATAGATGATAGTTAAAACTTATCAGCCATGAATGGTTTTCACATTAAATGATCAAAACTATGCTGTATGGTACATGTATTATTGTTTTAAAAACAGAATACAAGAATCTAATCTCCACCTTTTAAAATTATTACACTTTCGTGAATTGCTTTTGTGATGTTGTGTAATAATGTTTGTACATGTAAAAAATGTTTGATATTTCGAAAATTGCTTCAGACTATAGACTGTCATAATATGATTCAGAAATTGTATCTGACATGTGTGGTCTATAAAAATTATGTAGAATGCATCATCATCATGATCATGTACATACAAAAGTTAAAGGAATTAGTAATCTCAAAATTAATAAGTATTTTGCAGAGACATTTTGTTTGGGTGATTGGTTTCTTTCCCAACAATAAAATGTTTAAAAAGGTTTGTTAGTCTTGATTTTTTTGTCCCCACTGGAAGATAATGTCTTCACAGAGTATTGTTTGGTATTTGATAAATCAATTTTACCGAAGTTCCCAATTTGCAGTTGGTGAATGAACAAAGAGAGAAAGATCAACATGAATTTAATTAAGTCTGTCCCATATTTTGAGAAGTTACAGCTACTGATAGTGATATGTGGGATAAATTTTTATTGTTTTTTTTAAGAAATCCTCATGAAAATGTTAAAGGCTAGACATTTGAATTACAGGTTAAGTAAGCTCATCATATTTCTACTGCTGAAATGTCAATAGATATAAGAAGATGTGGTATGAGTGCCAATGAGACAACTCTACATCCAAGTCACAATTTGTAAAAGTAAACCATTAAGTAAGGTCACGTAATCCTGTTTTTATCAAGTGATATTAAAGCATTTTTACTTTCTTCGTTTAAACTGTGCATTTTCAAGTTGAATTCAATTATTTCTTTAGAAAATTTAGGTAATGGTTAATCTAGAGGAATGTGAATATTTGCTGATCAGTATAGATACATGTACAAGTATCATAAAATTTATCGTGTCTTTGTGTTTACCAGTGTTGAGTATAAAATGATGGAGATTAAATCAAGTTTTTTTTTCGGTAATCAGATTAAACGCACAAAGTTATAATTTACAGAAAAAGACAACATTTGAGACAACTGGAATACGTAAGTTGTGTTCTTGTTTACAAAATGGTAATCATGGTAATGTGTGTCACTCCTTTAAAGGGGGTCTGATCCTGGATTCAGCTTATTGTTTTGTCAGAATCCCATATCCCACTTATCGTTGTAATAATAGCGCTTGTATTTTCATGTGTCCCGCCGACTTCAATTCCCAGTTTCACGCAATATAATTAGACTTTCATGTGTCATGATTACAAAAGATCGGCAAATCAAGGATCAAGCTTACACCCCAATGAGACCCACTTTAAAGGAGAGACACACATCACAACATTTATACACAACAATACACCTAATCGCTATTTAGTCCAATCCGGAAAAAAACAGTCATTTAGACAACTTCCTGTTTGGGTCAACAGGCCGCAAACTAAGGTCATCAGTAACGAGCTGAGGGAGGGGAAAATTTAGAAAGCGATCAATAGGAAACTTTGATAGATTATGATCCACTTTTTCCAAACTCAAATTATAGTCAAAAAAATATTGTGTTTGAAGTATTTACGATGTTTTAAACAGGTCTCATTAAAAAGTATGGAATAAATAGCGATTAGGTGTATGGTAACACAAAGACATGATAATTTTTTTAATATCTAAACTAATCTGATAGACAAATATTCTGATTCCTCCAAGAAATATATCTGCCTAAATGAAATTAACCAAATCATGACCATTCCATTGTATATTTAACTGCAATGTTAAGTAAGCATTCTGCTTCAGATAACACTTACAAATCTGACTCTCCTTCAGCTACTCTGGTTTTCAGTCGACGATCTCGTACTAAGAAAGCTGTTCCAAAGTTCCCTTTCCCAAGTCGCTTAATAGTTTCATATCTATTGCAATATATTCGAGCTTTTTTCTTTTCTTTTGTGTTATTTTGTTTAAAAGACATTATGAACAATACTAGTTTTCCTGTCAATTTTGTGTGATTCACGAAGAATCATGTCCTTGTTATAATATATAATAGTTCTCAGTTCGTAGATTTAACAAACATGGAATTATAAATGAGATGAGTACATAATGACAATGTTGTCACCAGTAGACAACGCATGTTCTTGCTATTATAGTGCCAACTTCGTATTCGTCTGTCGTAAGACGGCCATGTTGGCGTCGTTCGTTACTCAACAAATCAACTTCTGATAACTGTTATTTTACTTGCAAATTAAAATTCAAAACAATTTTTTGGCAAGGAGAGGCATAGGAGTTTAAGAAATAGCTCAGTTGTTCTCTTGACATCAAACTTGTGGTTTTCTATTAAGATACAAACAAAGTTTGGTTTAATCGTGCAGGTGCCCGTCTTGTGAAATGCATTGTGGGGTAATTTACAGTTCCCCTAAAGACTTTCTGACGAAGAGAAGATATCACGATTGCTGGATACCAGTCATTTCACAATTACGGAAACGGAAATGAAATTTGAGGGAAAATCTCCGGATAAATTTAGGGAGAATCTCTGCATGTAAGAACATTTTTTCGGTTTTTTATGTAATAAGAGTATAATTTATACAATAATATTCTGATGCTATAAATAATTAATTTCTGGACCAGAATTATAAATGTCAAAGATAATAACTAGTCTCGTTTGTTTTATAGATTAATTGAATATTTTAAGTAATGGTTTTGAAACGAAAGCATCGGGATATAATATATATATATATATAACGCCGGCATAAAACATTATTTTTGACCACTGTGGTATGTAAAGCATCATTTAGATCTGGGAATAGTATATCTAGTCAAAATATATGTTCCTGGTTATATTATAAAGTAATCAGATATTGGAGATATAGATTTCACCACTGCAACAAGTGTGTTCCGATATTTCTCCACTCAAGACAGTTAAATTTTAATATTTAAAGCGCGAGGCTTGCCGAGCTTTTTAAATAATTAAAATTTAACTGTTGAGAGTGGAGAAATATCGTTATAAACGAGTTATCATGAGTGGTCATGGGAATCTGTTTCTCTAATTTTTGTGCTATATTCACATTTCTTGATCGGTGTGAGAAAAATATTTCTCTTCACTTGTAAAATATCTGTTCTCGGCAAATGATTGGTCAAAATTTAATTATAACGTCAAATTTTCTTGGTTTCTTCTGAATTTTCCTATTTTGACGTCATGAAAAAAAAGGCGACCATGCCTGATGACGTCACATATAAAGAACACAATTTCTGCAAATCTTTGAAAACGAAGGATAAAAATCATTATAGAATGTGTATTAAAACACAGTGGAGTTGCAACACAAATACCAATTTAAGCAAGATTGCTTAGCATATACTGAAAATTTACCAAATACAATCTGATAATTTAAAAAAGAAATCAGAAAAATTTAGAAAAATGTTAAATCTTTCTGAATATGGCATATGATTTATTATATTTCGTTGTCACTTGAAGTATTGTGCTGGGCCAGTGTGTATGTCACCGCTTTTCTGTTGATACAGGTAGGTGGAATGGAGCTGCACGTAATGAAATAACTTGCTACTATTGTAAATCAAACGACATTGGGGACGGATTATTATATTGTACCACAACAATATGTCTTGTAATGCATCGAAGGACGAAATAAATGCTTTAACTGCTTGTTCATGATTATCCAAACCCCATTAGCTACAAATTTAATCAGTTATTTAGCATATTAAAAGACCGACCGATTGCTATGAACTGGGTAGATATCCTCTTTATATAAATTTGCTATGGCATAGACTAGAGAATCCCCCATCTGATTTATTGAAAAGTGCTTATGCTGAGTTAAAAATAATTGAGAGTAAAGCTCAAACTACCTCAAATAATTCATGGCTCTCTAATATCATTTCTACAGCGAAAAATTGGGTATTGACCTAAATATATGTACAAATTTAGGCAAAAATAAATTAAAAAATTTACTGAAAAAACAGCTCAAATTAAATTTTCAAAATGATTGGGAGAAAATGCGAGATTTTTATTTACAGAATCATGGCAAATTGGACACTTATTTTTCATTCAAGAGGTCATTTGACTATGAAAATTATTTAGATTTAAAGCACCCCCAAAAACATTTGTTAACAAAATACAGACTCAGCAATCACTGTTTAAGAATAGAAACTGGCAGACATGAACGTTTTATCAATGTATGTGGTAAATATGAAATATTACCTCGACATGAGAGGATATGTATATATTGTAATTCAAATTCTATTGAAAATGAAATGCACTTTCTTCTGGAATGCCCTCTTTACAATAACCTCAGAAGAGATATGACTGATTATATCAAAAAATACCCCAGTTTAGTTAATTTAAACAGAAATGATCTTTTTACATGGATCATGAGTAATGAAGATAGCAGTTTTTTATCTATTTTATGTGCATACCTTGATAAAGGCCTGCAACTTAGAAAATCAGAAAATTAGTTAAATAGATAGCAAAATTATCTCCCCTTGACCACTGACCCTTTCCTCATGCATTTGAACTATTATTTTATGTTTCTTTAATCACTCTGTAATGTTTATGTCATGTTGTTATTAATGTTATGCTCTTAATGGGCCCTTTAATTTGGAAAAATAAAATATTGTATTATTGTATTATACTCGTCTTCGGTTAAATGTAGTTCTGTGCTATATCACTTCGCATTCTTATTCTAGATGTTAGACGAAATGTTAATTACTGTATGTAATAACAATGATAATTGTAATGATTTTATAGTTCTGATCCTGCCTGGAATTAAATGTATGTGATTTTTTTTATAGAATGAAGATAATAACATCTGTCTGAACTTTTCAATGTTTCATTTTAATATATAAAAATGTTTTCTGTTACAAATCATGAGGTATTCTTTTATGTGTACATGTTATGTTGCCCATCAAGGGCCCTTGATTGGAATAATAAATATTCTTATATTCTTCTTATTCCATTTTCCGTTTCAACGTTGTTCTGCTAATATTTTAATTTTGTTTCGCTTTTTTTGGGGAATACGAACTTTCATACATTTATGACCCTCTAAGAGTTGTAGTTGATCAACATAACACCGTGATTGCCACTGTTTTTTAATAGTTAAATTCCGGGATGAAAAATCTAAAATCTAAAAAAAAAAGAAAAGAAAAGTGAAGGACAAATTGCTTCGAAACTTTGATAAACTCGTGATTCTCTTGTGTAACTAGACGTCATAATTATTTGGACTAGTACATGTATTGCTGCTTTCAAAAATGTTTAAGTAATAGAACAGAGAATGGAAATAGGGAATGTGTCAAAGAGACAACAATCCGACCAATGAGATGGGACAGCCCAAGGCCATCAATCATGGGTCTACAACGCAGCGAGAAAATCCCACATCCGTAGGCGGCCTTTAGCTGGCCCCTAAACAAAAGTATATACTAGTTCAGCGAAATGGACGACACACTAAACACCAAAAACATACAAATGAACCAAAACAACTAAAATACACAAGATTAACAAAGGCTAGAGGTTCCCGACTTAGGATAGGTGCAAACATGCGGCGGGTTAAACATGTTTTGTGAGATCTCAACCCTCCAATATATCTCTAGCCAATGTGGAATAAACAAACACACAGCAATACACACAGTGAAACTCAGTTTAAAAGAATTACGAGCCTGATGTTAGAATATAGGTAACAGAATAATCTAAGTAAAATGACAATGGTCAACATGAATTAACAAAGGACTACTAGCAGTTACTGACATGCCAGCTCAAGACCTCAATTAAACCTGAGACTACTATAACACAGTTATAGTAGTCTCAGATTAAACTCATCGAACTATTATGTCTTCATCATATGAAAATCGACCAAAGTCCCTTCCGTTAGGCGTTAAGTATCATGCCATCATAAATTATACGAGAAGAAAAATAATCCGTATCATACTTTCATGTTTTTTTTACTATGTGGAAGTCATTTATTCTTGTTAATATTGGTATAATCTAATCTCAATATGTACAAGTCCCAAGAGATATCACAGGTTTGGTGGCCTTCTAAATCCAGTTATTAAACTATATATCTGAAAAAAATCTAATTCTAAGGTTATTTCCCCGATGCACAAGTGATCCTTTAATGTTGTTAGAGCTTATTTTTTGTGTTTATTGTTTTGTTTTATTGACTATTCGAATTCCTAATATTTGGTTTCGAACATCACTGTTGGACAAATAGCATTTGATTACTTGTTAATCAAATGAACGGCACAGATGATACTCTGAGATAATTAAGTTGAATATATCATCTTTTTATATTAAATTTGAAGCTGTATGTCCAGGGGCTTCTACGGGGAGTAGGATTGGTCCAATCTGAAGAACAGAAACATAATTTGGAAGACTTTTTCTAACTGTCTTTACTTCAGTCCATTACTGTTATCAGTATTCTAATCATTTCAGAACTTTATAACTTCTAAACGGCGCCCACGCTGCGCAAATGTATTTCCAAAGCATAAGGGTCTAAGAAGACAGTGCTTTGTAACCTGATGATGTACATGTAAAAGCTCTGATTGTGTACGTTCAATATTTCATAAAAATTATATACGAGATCGTCGAACTTCGTACCTGTTACCTTATATCAGAACTCATATCTTAATTCATAAATGATATCTTACACAGGATCGGGAAAGGTCATATTCTCGACTTTACGAAATCCCATTTGACTGCCACGTAGACATTTGAACCGTGCACCATATAGTTTAAGTATTTTATTAATTATGACAATCTGAATCATGACAGGTGATCAATTACTTATAAAGTCTTCCACAACTGAATGTATTACAAGTATCGAAACAATGATTTACCCAATTTTATAAACATATACAGTCAACTTTATTTACTAAACAAAATATAGATTTTTCAGTCTTTTTCATTTCAGTGAATGTTAGATCCAGCTGTTACAAGATTGGACATATCTCCTTTGTTGCCTTCTCTGTCCACAGCAACAATAACAAAGGCAAATGAGTTCTGGTATAGCGCCAGTCTTGTTGCATTTATTCGGAAAACCTCTTGCTGTCCTGATGAACGTGGTAAATATAGTGAGCCATTTATTACAGCGGACTGTGATACGTGTTTGAGGGATACCAAGGATTGCCTTCTATTGAATATTTCCTGGCTTTTATGTGCATATAAAATGTTGTAATGGTTGGCTGTCAATGAAAATTATTCATTTAAAAAAACACATTTATCTAATGCAGAATATTAAAGTAGTCCCATAAATATATAAACCCACTATACATATATGATATTCCCGGAGTTTCAAAGACGTATGCATACAACTATCATTCCCTTGGTTGTTAAGTTCATTGTAACAAATTATGCATTTAGCATGTAACAAAATTACAGTTTCGTATAAAATATGTACGCTGATCAACAGTATCTTTTTATCAAACTGTTTTGCACATTTCTGTTTCTTTCACAGATTATTGGATTTATATATAATTTAGGAAAATAAATATGAAGCATCATAGTGGCACTTAAAAAAACTATGTCTCATCAGTAATGCTCGAAACAAAAGACAAAAAATCAGAAAGTATCAAAAGTTGGAAGATTGGTAAAGAAAAAATATCAGCAATGATCAGTAACGGGGTCACACAGTACTAAGTAACATGATACAATATCAGATACCTTGTAAAAATCTAGTTACTGTTCTTTAAAATGACAAGAAAGTTAACCTTCCCAAGTACAACCTATAATAATGTCAGTTATTCACTGTAGTACAACCATGATTTGATAAATCAGAACAAAAATTTACGAATATTTTTTTTTTATTTACTTTTATTTCCTGCTATGACACTCATTTGATCGAGTCAAAAGCAATTAGTGAATTTGCTTTTTGCCATTATTTCTTTTCACACGAGTATCTCTAATATACCCAAGACTTAGATTAATATGCCACACTTCTTATGCTGTACCAAAGTGCAGACCAAACAAATATTAAGGATTCAACCCCAATCAAGTATATTAACATGTTTTTTTAACTGCTGTGTTTACGCCCTTGGAGCATGCTATATAGATATGTTTTTTTTTATTGATATTGTATATTTTTTAACGGTTATGATGTGGTAAGTCTTGAAAAATTATTCGAACAGTTGAAGAATGAGCTAAGATTTTTATGCAATTTTCTCTTTGTTTAACGTACCTCTTCCGTGGTCTAGATCATCACCAGTAGCTGTAAAGGTTAGTGTTATTACATTGTCATTGCTCATACCACGTGATTTCAAGTCTTGTATTCTTGCTGGAGGTATCGTGGTTCTGTTGATATTGCCATGTGGTATACTTAAGTCCGATGAAATCAGAGTTACTCGACTTATACCGTGTTTTAAAGGAATTATGGTAGATTCGTATCTTTCCTCAGGGTCTAAAAGTAAAATTTGTGTAAATAAGTTATCTTGATAGTTACCAGTTAAATAGTATCCTTCTTACATCAATACGAACTTTTACATTCAGCATAAATATAAATTGCTTGTTTATGCACTTCATTGTATTCATTCTCGTGAAATGTAGTTCTATTTTTCATTATCTTTTTGTCAATTAACCTTATCTACATGTTCATGAATTTAGTAAGGATTGTTCGGCTGTATAACAACATTTTTACCTCCTATAAATACAACAAGTGTCGTAAACAGAGGACATACAACGTTTATCAATGGTAATTTCCGCTTGTGTTGAAGTGAATGCATGGATGTCTTGAACTATGTTCTAACTTAGCATAAGTAATGATTGTCTTAATATGCATGTACATTATGGTGTTGTTTATCTTGAGAACAGAGGAAAACAATATGTTTTTTTTTTGCTTTGTTGGGTTCATTGTTTACTATTTTCGATTCTCGAAATTCGACTGTCTTTTCTTTTTTCTGTCTTTTGGTGTTTTTTTTTATTGACACGAACCTCACATCTCCTTTTATCATATGCAAATTTAGTAATCAGACAAAATTGTTATACCTTTAGAAATGAACGATTATATATATATATATATATATATATAGGACATATAGATATTTTACCGATCTCATCTTCATTGTACACTAGTGAATTATTTAGAATATGACCATTTCCGAACAGATCAGACAGCTGTATTTTCAATCCATGAGTATTCTGATGATGAGGGAGGAACCTGGAATAAATACCATCTCCTGTCTGTATATCTGCACCTGTGAATACCAAAAACTGATAAACATAGAACCTGGAAAAAATGCCATCTCCTATCTGTATATCTGCACCCCAGTGTGAATACCAAAAACTGATAAACATATGCTAACGTCTTCTGTTGGAACATTCTTCAGTTTTTGGTCTATATGGTTGGATACTTGTCTCACTGGCAATGATTTCGTTTTGCCTCATAAGGACTTAATATAAGTTATATTTAAAATAAAGATTTTTTTATAAAAAAAAACATACTTATCGAGAACCTAACAACAACAACAACAAAATAAATAACAAAAACAAAAACAAGCAAATTTTGAAATAAAAAGATGAAGTATGGTTACCAATTATAATACTATCCACCTGAGACCAAAATTACACAAATGTAAGAAATTATATAGGTCATCCACCGTATGGCCTTCAGCAATGAGCAAACCCCATACCATATAGTAAGCTATCAATGACCGTGTTTTAAACCATTTTCCTACGAGTAAGAACACACAGATATATAAAGAGTATTATAGAATGTTCTGCAAGATAACTGGAAGCGTGAATTTTGAAATGTTATCTAAAAATTGAAAACAATTGATACACAATATGAAATACATTATGCATAACCTTTTTGGACATACCAGAACCATTATCATATAAGTCCGTTTGATGCAATCTGCCATCTAATTGTGATATGGCTGTGACTTTCAGTCCAATAATAGGGTGATGACCTTGTCTAACCTCTGCAAACACGGCTATTCTGTGGACATCTTGGTAAGGTTGCTGTACAGCTTTGGCAGAAACGGTGATTGGTTGCCGAAAGTTTGCAATAATCGAGGATGCAGCCACGTTGATGTCAATATTTTGTTCAGCTGAGTGCGTTGTAGACACAGTAATCATCCATTTGCCTTCCTAGAATGATTGTACATATTTGTCACTGTTAGGTCATTATTCAGTAACTTAACGAACACATACAGAAAGCTTTTATCAATATAACATTTTTATCATGGTCATGTTTGACTTTTAAATAAGTATGATTGGGTACAGTTTATTTTAGGAAGGCATCTACTTCCCAGATGACACAGTCTTAGGTTGAACGAAATTAATACTTTCAATGAAACCATTTGAACACATGAAGAACAGGTTGTTTACGTCCAAGTCATTGGAACTCTGGTGGACAGTTGTCTCATTGGCAATCTTACCACATCTTCTTATTTTTATATAGTAAAATCTTCGTTTAGACATAGATAAAATTCGTACCTCTGCAGATTCGGCTTTGAAATGCAGCACTTTCAATTTGTCATCGACATCTATGTCATTCCTTATTTTTCCGTTTGGATCTTTTAGTTTTAACTGAGGTGCTGGATTCGTGTCATAGGATAAACGAATCGACAAAATTCCATTTAGATATTCATCAACTATAAAGGAATCTTGAAAAATTCTGCCTTCTTGTAAGGACAAATATTGATGGTAAAGCTGGAATGATAATGATCAGAAAATATTTTTATAAAAATGGATACTTCAGGAAATCCCAAATCGTGACTTCTGAGTATAGTTTGACCTAAATTTAATAAGATAATATACATAACTATAATCTTTTTAAGGCTCGATGTCGCCTGATTCGCTTTACTGGCATTTATATATAACAGAGGATCAATCTGTTCACCCAGAGGCAATCTGAGTGGAAATGAGATAAACTATTGAAAATAAACACACTTGTGATGATTCAAGTTTGATTTAAATTTGCCATATTGCTTCAGAGAAGAAACTATTTAAGTGTACTATAAATAAATTAGTTTAACAAGCACAATTAAATAAGCTCTTTTTTGTGATTTTTTAAGTTAGTTTGTTATTTCGAGATTCTCTTAGGCTTAATCCAACTGCTGTTTGTGGTAATTTGTAATGATTTGAAAGTAATATATTTGCCAAGCCAGGAGCATAAAGTTTTTAACAAACTACCATAGGGTACACCAAACAAAGTACCAGTAAAGGAATGACATACTCCTACATTTTTCCCGTATTACTAATATGGAAAAAACCAAGCAATGCCCCAAATATGCAATAAAAAGAGGGCTTTTGAGGATGTAATATGTTTTATTTTGTTATTTCTCTATTTTTCATCATGATTTCGGCTATTTCATTTTCATAGGAACATCAACCATTATTCATATAGCACATCATTCATTATCCTTCATTGAAACTACGGGTATAGACAGTCACTAGATAGTTGGGAAATATCCTGCAAATGCCAAATAAAGATATCTAATACGTCACTTTCAGGGAGCCAATCGGAGATGCAGATACTTATGCATTATGGTGAAGCTGTAATTAAGATGGCGACGGTCCTGCATCGAAACCCCTGTGTTTTTAAGCGGTGCCAAGTCAGAAGAAGGAGAACAATTATGTATTTTAGTGGCAGAGGAAACTTACAGTGATGTTTTTTTTAATTGGATTTCTCTAAAAAGCACTTACAAAAGTTATTTGCATAGTTTTATACCGTCGCCTACTGAAGTTATCTACGGCTACAGATACCCCAAACAATGACATAAATGAATTGAAGAAATATAAGAAAAGACTAGGATAAGGCATAAAAAGATCGCGCGACAATAAATAGGATTTTCCTTTTAAAGAGGCTGTACCGCTCCCACAGCTGTACATGACTTTTAACTTAATATGATTAACTTCACTATGATTAATAGTAATAATACGTAACCCAGAGATCATTATTTGCTTTTCAAAATGAATTACTGAACCAATCGTGATTTGAACCTGTGACCCATTGCACAGAAGAAAGTCGCTGCACTACCAACTCAGCTAAACAGTAATCTACAAGCACATGGTTAAGTATTGACAAGGTGAGACTAAGGGGAAGGGGTAATGCCATGAAGTGGCGTGAGGGCTCCACTTTTGTGGTCTAAAATGAACACATTGAGGGATCCTATGCAATCATTCTTTTATTTGTGATTTCCTTGGTCGCCATGTTGGATGTACACACTATATTTATAATGATCTTTATGAAATTACCTGCTTTCTGTAAATCATTTTTAAGTTATAAAATACACTTATAAATATAATATCATTTAATAATCAATGTTTAAAAGTCATCAATATGTGCTAATATTAAAATTTCAAGTGTTATTTGGTCATTCGAGGTACCGAAGGGGAAGCACGGCTACACTCCCCCGCGTCAACATACCTAATGACATACGGGCAATATCAACAACACTTACTCTGGCTGTAGGTTTTACTTTTAAACACCCTTGGTTTTTTAGTTAGACACCGATTGTAACCGGAAAGCATGATTTGTCTGATAAAGTAAATTACTGATTCAGCCTTGATTTGAACCTAAAACACCTGGCATAGTAAGCCACTGCTATACAAACTGAGTTAAGTAAGCTTAACTAATGGAGGGCAGTTATATATATCTTCTATGTAACTTGTAAGATGACAGTGTTCTCGAAAATCGTCGGTCCTGACCGCCAAAAATCAGCCAGGACCGAAAATTGCATGTGTAGTGGCAGTCCTGATGACCGACAATATTTTGGTGGTTGTTCACTTTTGTTTTCACATCTTTTCGGTATTCAGATAGCTTTTGAACTGGTTGCTAATGTAAACAAACTTTTAACTGTATAGGTCAAAATTACGGTACTACTTTTGAAAAAGAACCAGTCGTCGGTTTCTTTGGTATTCAGATAGTTTTTGAACTGGTTACTACTGTAATTTAACTTTTGTAGCCTCTAGCTTAAAATTACGGTAATACTTTTGAAAAATAACCAGACATAAAAGTCATCATGGCATCCACATGGCTCATTTCGTTCAAAGGGGGTGCTAAACCAGAGGACTTTGTATTTGAACAGACAGAGACTGAACATTTTTTTCTATATTACAAAAATTGCAGCTGAGGAATAAACATCAGACTTCTTTTATTTCTTAATTTTAATGCACTTTTCACTGTAAATGATTGTAGTGGACACAGGTTGGGAACAAGTCAGGAAAAGTGGGGTATTCACTGTTTTCAGGGACATCCCAGTTTACAGGGACTTCCAATTTCTATTTCAATTTATGGCATGAATCAGTAGTATTTGTAAATACTTAGAGTATTTCATGAACAACAAAGCATGAATAAGTGAGGCCTTTCTTTTTCTAGAACTCAAAAACATACAAATCTTTTGTTTAGGAATCAACTGACCAAGATGCATGCTCCAGGTGTAACTGACCATTACTGAATTATGTTCACTTCTATTGAAAGTTTCTATTCATTGAATTTAAATGCCCAATTGATTAACCTATCTTTTTGTCATCTCATAATTGAATTATTGATGATCAAGGTATGAATTGGTGAACAAAGGAGTTGTTTTGTTGTGAGTTGAGTACCAAATAGACTTGAAATTAGTTTGATTTTTGAACTTATAAAAACACCTGCTAACATAAAACATTGTTATCAGATGTAAAAGGTGCACTTTTGTAGATTTCATACCATAAAATAGGAAAAAAGAAGTCCCTATATACTGGTTTTTTTTTAACACCAGAAAACTGGGGTGTAACATGAAAACAGGGAATACCCCACTTTTCCTTACTTGAGTCCACCCAACCTGTTAAACTTATTAAGCCTCGATGTAATTCATCATTTCGTAAAAGACATTTTTCCTAACGAATTATAAACAATTGGAACAGTTTACCCAAAATGTTGTGTCTGCAAAGACCGTTGATAACTTTAAATTACAACTTGATCATCATTGGGAAGATGTTATGTACCAGTTCTAGTGATAAATTATTTTTATTACAAATTTTTATTGAAATTCTTTACACTTGAGCCCTTAAACGACTCTACAGGTATTCTACAGGTAGTACTATGCATGAGACTAACACAAAAATGAAATCAAACATGTTATCAAACTGACAAAGTATAAAAATTAGTGAACAATGCAAAGTTCAAAATTTCATTGAAAACCACCAAATATATAACATAGAAACTAGGATGGAGTTTATATATATTGAGCAATGACTTTCATTTAACTAATAGGTGTTTGATAAATTCAAGTAAAATTACAGGACCACCAGATTTTTAGTCTTGGTGGTCCCAATGACCACCAGGAAAAAAAAGATTTCGAGAACTCTGAGATGATTAATTACAACAACTAAAAGTGTTTGTAAGATCCAGAATGAATAAACACAGAAAATTTGTCTGCTATAAATTAATGATGGCTTTTTTGAGGAAAATTTTACTGGGCTGTGGTTAGGATTGTGAATAATCATGATGATAACATTTTCAAATTTAAAAAAACAGTTTATAACCTTGAGAGGGAATAATCAGCACTGGTCAGTGGCGGATCCAGAGGGGGGCGTAGAGGGCCCCATTACTCAATATAATTTTCTGGTCACCATGTTTGACTGCTCTTCTTATGAGATGATGTCCCATATGTTGATTTGGATGTCTGAGTAGAACACGTGTGTTGGATGGGAGCATAGAAATGACATGGTCTGCAAGCTGACTAGTTTTCAAGGTGTTATCGTCCTATTTAACAACAAATATATACCTTTTAAAAAATCAGAGATAATCTCGCGTTATCAATTTTCATTGACAAATTTGTGCAGTTTAAAATCAGAAAACGCAAACATTTCAGTCACCAAGACAAAATGTGTTACTTCGTTCAATGTTTCGAGCTAATCAATCCTTTATACAGTTTAAAAATAAAAGATTTCAATAATTACGATTTATGTAGTACTTTTCTATGCTAATTATATTACTGGGTATCTTAAAATGTAGCAACATGGACATTCTCTGATCTGAATTCTTCTTAAATGCATAACGTAATATACTTGTTCTGCTTATCGGTACGGAGATGATAGAAATAAGAAGATGTGGTATGAGTGCCAATGAGACAACACTCCATCCAAGTCACAATGTGTAAAAAGTAAACAATTATAGGTTAAAGTACGGTCTTCAACACGGAGCTTTGGCTCACACCGAACAGCAAGTTATAAAGGGCCCCATAATGACTAGTGTAAAACAAGTCAAACAGGAAAACCAACGGTCTAATATATATAAAAAACGAGAAACGAGAAACACTTATGAACCACACCAACAATCGACAACCACTGAACAGGCTTCTGACTTAGGACAGGTGCATACAAATGCAGCGGGTTTAAACGTTTTAACAGGCGCCAATCTTCACCCTAACCCGAAACAGTAGTGTAACATTACAACATAAAAAGAACACGTTTATAAAACTTTTTTACCAGGTAAATTGTAGCTCTCTTCGTTCTCGCCGCCTTTACAATCTTGAATGTTGGAACTAGGTTAGAAATACTCTGTGGTTGGTTCAGACCATTTCGGAAGTCTTCTGTTCCTTCGATTACAGCCCATGTACTACGATGGCCACACAGTCTATTTTGCATGTTTGGTGCTTCGCTATTATGTCCATACTTATTATGCTTGTAGTCCGTTTGGTCATCACAAAAATGTGTTATCTGAATGAGTTAAAACAAATAGTTAAACAAAACAGAACTTTTCCAACAATAATGCTTTTAAAGTTAAAAAAAGTTACTATGATAAAATTGTCCATTTTCATTTCAATCACAAATTAAAATGTTTTCAACGGAAAAGGCTAAGATTTTCAGATGTAACATTGTTTTTATTTGTATAGAATCAAGATATTAAGGTTTTGTTTTTCATTTTAAAACGTAATTTTATATCAATGTCTACACCTGTCTGTGTATGGTTTAAATATTTGTGTCTAGACGACAACCAACAGCAAATGACTTTCAATACATGTGTTAAACTTTTGGTCTTTTATTGAATGCTTTGGAATGTTGATAGTATGATGTATTCTCACCTCTTTAACCCACTGATGATCCATCATTGATTCGAATCCTCTGTTGTGGTACGGATATGGATAATATTTACATCTTTGATCAACAAGGCCTGTAATGGGGTCTAAAGGTCCCTTGACAAAGTTGCATGCAGAAACGCTCATAGTCCCATTAGGAAATCTAGCCATTGATCTTCCTAATAATCCCATAGAACACCGAATAGGATCAGCTCTGCCGAACATAGTGGAATAGTAAAATTCATTTTCACCAGGGTTTGGATATTCATTGAAAACTCCCCATCTGAATGTGCCCCATTCGTGGACGATAAACTTTTCTGTAATGGTATATGCAGTACTATTTTAAAAGATTTATTAATATCTAATCAAATTGTAGTGTTGGTCATATTCATGTTTCCCTCTATATATTTCATATGAAATCACACTTTCGAAATATATATATATAAGTAGTATCTAGTCTCATAGTATGTTTCAATCAGTAAAAAAATCACAAGCGATAAAGATTGTTCAATAATAAATAAAGATATAAATTATACTCTTGATATTTTAATTGGACGCACATATTTAGTATATTACAACGTTGTTCTCCTTTCTGTTAGAATCACTATAAAAATGTAATACTTACCCGGTGACAACTTGACAGGAGGTTTTGAGGGATGGAGAAACACATCTGTCAACATCTGAATATGGATTCCTGAATGGCCACACCCTGCGTACGATCGGGTATAAGGAAAGTTTCTATGTGTAGGTATTGGTGCTGAAACAATTATGTCCGCATATTGCAAAGTCTGTCCTGCGGCTGCTGGTGTAATTCCAGGACTGTCCTTCCAACTATTTGGAACGAGTATAATAATCTCCTTAAAGTAAGCTCTCTTCTTGGTTGCCGTGTGTAAAGTTGATGATGCTTTAGTAAATGCATCCTACAAGGAAATAACTTAGCATTGGCCATGTTAACAAGGCAAATTGAATATTCAAAATATACGATCTTGTATGAAACATTTGTCATACACATTCGTGGCATTCATAATTTTAAAACCTTATGCAACAACTTTAAAGATAAAGACAACTTGTGTCTAATCCTATTGCATTTGCAATCAAATGTTATCAATCTGAAGATATGTTCACCTTGACATAGCCACAATCCCGTTCTCTTCCTCGATTGTGACATCCCAGAATGCGACTTGACACGACCGGTTCCACTAATGGCGCAGAAACTGCTACAATTCAGGAGCCTCTTGGTTCACCTCTTGTTTTGTTGCTGCTTTAACTTTGTGTTGTATTTTGAGCTATTGTATTTGTTATTGTCTTGTGTTGTTTCTTCTGGTAGCATTGTTGTGAATCCTTTGTCCTAAAAATCCATGTTTTTTTCGAATCTTTCACATTATGTCATGTTTAAGGGTTAGATAATTTACAATCACAAATACAGATGTATGGTTTATGAAGTCGGCAATGTCCTGGGGGAGGGTTAGAAAAATATATTTACAAATCCGCTATTGCATGATGCCTTTTTCACAGGATATGACTCAACATCGAATCTTACAAGACAGGAGTAACACGGCTGGTATTACCAATAGAATATTTAATGTTAGTCCTCCCGGTAGGGTTAGTACGGCTCAATCTTTAGTTTTCTCTGTAATGTTTGTGGACTGTTGGTCGAGTTTTACAGTTGTATAAGCTTTTTTTTTCTTCGACTTGTGGTTTTTGATTACCCATTGGTATCTTGTTCGTCTTATTCGCCTCTTTCAAAAATAAACGCTGAAATTGGTTAGACGAACGGTTTCTCAAAGGAAGCATCAATGACTCCCCAAGTTTGGTTCTCATTTACTACAATAACGAAGGATTACTATTGGAGTTTTTACCTCTGTGTTTGACGATCTTGTGAGTTGGTCAGCGGCATCGCTTCTTATACAATTTCGAAACTGCATGCACCAATTGGTCAAGGGTTAGACTAAGACGAGCGACGTTTATTGATATGTTCAAGAACCATAAAGAATGAGACATCGACAAGACGTGCAGAAATAAACATTCTATTCATCTACTTACCTTAATTTTATCTAGTATCGTTTCGTCAGTAACGCTGTCGTGGATTGCCAGTAAAATATTGCTGTAGCCATTATTTTGGAAGACAATATTAGATTGACGGTAAAGGGAATCACAACACTTAAGTAAAACTAAATACAGAAAGATCTTTGTATACATAGTATGTCTCGTTTGTTATATCTTACTTGTTTGACTCTATGCGATGCATGTTATTTTTATTTGAAATTCATATTTAAGTTTCTAAGATACGAATTACGCGGGAATTGATAACGATTACTATCAATATACATATCTCATCACCTCTGCCACCAATATTTTAGGATTAGTATATATTTCAGTCGTTCTGATTGTACTAAACTGTGCATCTTCATCTTGTCTAGTGCTGGAGGGTCTGCTGAAATAAAACAAACAATGTCAAGTTGACCTCTTTCGCTGTCTTAAAATGATTCGCTTTGGTGAGAATCCGTACTAGGATATGAGTAAACAAGTGTAAACAAGTGTAAAGGGACGACGATTTCATATTCTGTAAGAGAGGAGGATTTCAAAAATGAATAATTTGGCCTTGGGAGAACTGAAAATAAATGACTTTGCACAAGACTGGATGAAAATGAATATTCTGCAACATACAAAAATAACAATGCGGTAGCAACAGATGAAAACAAATGACCAATCCGGGAAAAATCCTCCTGCCCCCACCCCCAAAATATAAAGTGGTCGTCACTTAATGTATGTTCTTTTAAATGAAAGAAGTACTAACTCGTCAGATGTTCTGCTTGGATGTAATGTTCGACTGCTGTCTCACTGACAGCTATAGTATGTTTGTCCTCCAAACTAACCAGGCTAACGTTGTGTCCGAGTTATTATTCTAGCACATGTACACACTAGATTAAAAGTTAGGCTCCTAACGTTCCTATTTTTTTGTTTTATAATGGTAACAATCGACGAAGAACATTTTTGGTGGTTGTGAGTATTCGTGTTTGATAGCTAAATGGTCATAAATGTATCATTTATCAGAGGTTTGGTAGAGAAAAATATTTTTTAAAGAACATGATTTTCAGGATTTTTTTTATAAGATTATTTTGTTGCTACATATAAAGGTGATTGTTCACTGTAAATTACTTCATAAAAGCGAGTGAGTTGGTCAGTGGCATCGCTTCTCTTACAATTTTCAAACTACATGCACTTACTTGTAGATCTTGTCTTGCTAATCATTTTTGATGTTTACAGTTTCTCTTTATTTTCTATTGTTTTTGCCCAGCACATAAACAGTGGATAAAAATTATCATTAAAAGGCAATACCTCCTTTAAGGAATCGACTGGCAATTTCGGTCATGTTGATATATTTGCAGATCTTTTCTTGCTGATCATATTTCTTTTGACAATTTTTTTTTACCTAATTAAGTTGTTGCCAAATATGCGAAAAATGGGTAAAAATCATCTTTAAAGGGCAATAATTCTCATAAGGAGTCAAACAACGATTTCTGCTATCTTGACTTGTTCTGTTGATCATTTGTTTGCTATTCACAGTTTTTCTTTATTTGCTATATTTTTGGTTAAAACAAGAGTGCACACGCTGAAATGTCTCGTCTGTTTTACTGCCCACTGATTTTATGTTGATAGTCCTAAATATAAAGCTTAACTACATTATCACAAAAACATAACATGATCCAAGAAAATGAGGTCAAGGTCAGATAAACCAAACCGAAAATACATGTACACCTTGCAATCATGCATACACAAAAACTTTACATTGAGGATTGAACCGTGAAAATGAGGTCAATGTCTAATAAAAAATGCCTGACTGACATGTACGTCCTAAAATATTTCCATACACCAAATATAGTTGACCTTTGCATACAGTATTAGAAAAACATACCAAAACACAAATTTAACTTTTTCCACTGAACCATGAAAATGAGGTCAAGGTCTGATGACACCTGCCAGTTTGACATGTACAAATTACAATAATTTCATACACCAAATATAGTAGACATATTGCTTATAGTATCTGATATATGGACTTGACCACGAAAACTTAACCTTGTTCATTGATCCATGAATGAGGTCGAGGTCAGATGAAAACTGTCTGACAGGCATGAGGACCTTACAAGGTACGCACATACTAAATATAGTTATCCTATTACTCATAATAAGAGAGAAATTAACATTACAAAAAATCTTAACCTTTTTTTTCCAAGTAGTCACTGAACCATGAAAATGAGGTCAAGGACAATGGACATATGACGGACGGAAATTTCATAACATAAGGCATCTATATACAAAGTATGAAGCATCTTCTAAAATATAAAGCTTTTAACTAGTTACTTAACCGCCGCCGCCGCCGGATCACTATTCCTTTGTCGAGCTTTCTGCGACAGATGTCGCAGGCTCGACAAAAATGGTTATTTATGAGCATTAACTCTTATAAGGAGTCGTCGAAAGATTTTTTCCTTGTTGTCCTGCTGATCATTTTTTGCGTTTACAAGTTTCTCTTTTTCTATTACAGTTTTCAAGATAATAAAACAATAACGCCAAAAAAAAATATGTAAAAATCGTCATTTAGAGGCAATATATCAGTCCTATAAGGAGTAGACTCATGATTTCACTTTAAGTCAGGTGAGCTAAAAGTGATAGAACTATTTTCCAGATTGCCAAAATGGACTAATCACACTATCTAAGAAAATATAATAAAATGTCCTTGTCACCGATATTGCTTTCATTCTACAAGTATTACACGTCCACTTAATTCCTAAATATTATGTAGGAGAAACTCAAAATTGATAGAAATTTAAAGTAAAGTTTGAGGAGATGAGATGGTTTTCATTTAATAATTACAGAATAGTTAAGGTAACCGAGCTTCTTATCTTCCTCCTTTAAAATATCACTGTAAAATTAGAGAAATCACGAGTTACTTCCCTTTACATGTTCAATTTTAATTTGTTCATTTTTTTAACATTTAACCTGACTACGTATGGCTCTATCAATAACCGGCGGATATGGTCACACACCTCTGTATACTTGAAGAACATGTAAGAAGAAGGAATGCATTTCATTTTATTTTTTCATATTAAAAAATTATGAATTGACCAGAGTTGTGTTTTTAATTTTAGTCTAAATGGAAAGGTGTAACAGTTCAATGTTATATTTTTTATATTTTCATCCCCCAATACGACATGACCTTTTGTAAAAAGTGATTCTATAATATTTTTTCAATAAGCACAAACAAAAACAAATTTATTTTTCAGCAACCAATAACTTGAAAAATTTTGATTCTTCAATCATAATTTTTGCAGGGATTATTAATTGTATCATTTCTCCAAGGTTGAGCACGACAACAAACTTGGTTTTTTTTTCATCTTTTTTTTTCAAACTTGTTATGAGTTTACTTTCTTGATTGTGAATTTCTATTTATTTTAAAAAAAGTAGCAGTATTTGATGACCATATTCTGATAATTCTCAAGGAAGATTGAAATCGAGAATTTTTCGCAAACTCTCACATGACCTTTATTAGAGTTTTGTTAAATTATTATTGACATTTCAACCAAAATTCTAGTAACTGTGGTCATGCTTGTTAAACTTCAAGAACATCGGATATAATTTATTAACTAGACTCGCTATTATTACTGTTAGTAGCAAATATAAAAATAAAAAGATGTGGTATGATTGCCGATGAGACAACTCAAACCAGGGACCAAACGACGTAGAAGTTAACAACTACTATAGGTCACAGTACGGCATTTATCAGTAAAGTTGGGTTTTAACTGGCCAAATTCTTTCAACACCCCCCCCCCCCCCACACACACACACACACACACACGCGCACGCACAAACTCAACTACGACATACTCGGACGACAGACACCAAGTGGAAGAAAAGGTCCCTTTTGACTAGTTGGGATAGGAATACATAATTAACTCTAACAAAATTTAAAATATCCTAAGGGAGTTCAATTGTTGAGATAATGTTAATCTCCCTACACAAACAGAGAAAACATCTCTTCCATTGCTAAATAACTAAGGTTTCGTTAACTTATCATACTTCTGTAGAGGCGTACTCATCTGCTATCATTCAAACCCACAAACAGATGGAGAGTTGTCTCATTGGCACTCATACCACATCTTCTTATCTAAGTATATGTTGTGCTGGCTGAAATAATGACCAAACATGTAAATAATGATCATGGGAACTTTTCATATATCTATGGTGGTTTCTTTCTAAACTTAACGACAGCGTTAGGTCATTGTTCTCTTTACCAAATTGGTCAAGTATTATGATTTTTATTAATACCATACATAATAACTAAAATTACTAAAGGGCTTATATGTATCGATGCATAAACTATCAAAAACTCTTCCGGCAATATTTGGAACAGGACTCTTATATTCATATTTCGGTATGCCTGATCTTGTCCTGAATACAAAAGTAGTCATTTAAATTATAAAGACGTATTTCAGTTTAGGATTTCATTATTATTGTGTTATCAAAATGACTAAATTACAGTGCACAAAATAATTGAGCGAATATCTTGTATAAAGTACCTAGCCTTGGGGTTTATTGGTCTAATCCATAAGCTTTTATCAACTTTTTTCTTTTGTTTGCTTAACAAATGCGCTTTGCAGTCCTGTATTGCCTAAGGACTAATACATTCTGTTGTTAATACTATCCTCCTGGCCAAGTACAAAATAGATTGACGCAAGTTCATATTTCCTCTTAGGAATATAAACTTTTCATCCTATCTACCCTCCGGCAACAGACACAAATGTAGTTTTACTGGTAATGAATTTAGCCAATGGGTAGAGAAGAATATATGCAATTTGTCGAAAGAAATTTGTGAGAATTACCAGAAATTGTTATAGATGTATTATTTGTGTAATTCGTCTACAATTGATCTTTCCTACAAATGTAACTGATACGAAATATTTATCACTCTATTTCCTCTTTATTTAAGAATCGTGGTCGCTTTGCTGTTATATTGAACTAGGAACATCCTTAAAAATGTTATAAAATTGCTGTAGATTAAATCTTCGTGATAACTAGTATTACTAGCAACATATGATAAGGTGCAAATCAACATCGAATCGCAATCAACATTTTATTCATAACTTATTAACTAACATAAAATACAAAATAAAACAACATAATACTAAACTTGGATTTCAATGAATGTCTAGTGTATGATAAACACGTACATTGTGTAAATATATCAACAATGAGTATACTGGTCAAGTGAAAAAAGTTCAACATGATGATGAAGAGGTGTCGTAATTTTGACACACAGACTTAGAGCCTGAATTTACATCGTAAGCTACAAAAATAAGTACTAACGTATAGTCTATCCTTTTCAAAGCTTTTTACAATTGTTTCGCGTAAATAAATATTCACTAAATTGTTGTCCCTCAACGCCACCCCCAGTGGAAGCTTCCACACGGAAGCTATGGTTCAGCAGTCTTTGAAACACTTGAACAGAATTAAGCTTACAAAATCCATTCAAAGGAAAGCGAATGACATAGTGACTGTCTAAATTGAATCCTGAATTTCTAGAATCCATCAATGCAGATGAAAGTTCAGGGAAAACTTCTTCAAGCAGACGTTTCTCAGCACTCAGTGAAATCCTTTCTCCAAGATCTGGACTTATGGCAACTGCAATGCAGTCACAAAACTCTCTGCTACTTCCGCCGATGGCTGAATCAGGTTTCTCTGTTTTGATATTTTTTGCTTTTCTTATAATTTCAAGATGATGAACTAAACCATGCAACTCGTAATATTTTGCTTCCTCGTATAACTGCTCGTGTTCACAGAAATTTTCCGGTAGGATTATTTTAGAAGATCGGAGATAGTTCAAAATATGTCTGAATGTCTTTCCATCGCGATCTATAAAGTAGTGCTGCTTGAGAGTGTCTAAGATAATGGGAATGCTTCCGTTGAACATTTTTGCAAGTCTTGATTCCGGATATCTGCAAAGAAAAAGTAGAAAAATATACTTTAAATCAGAATGATGAGCAAACAACAAGTTTAATGTTTAATGTTCATAGCTTGGAGAAAAATGAATAACAGCAACATAAAATTGAGAATGGAAATGGGGAATGTGTCAAAGAGACAACAACCCGACCATAGAGCAGACAACAGCCAACGGCCACCAATGGGTCTTCAATGCAGCGAGAAACTCCCGCACCCGGAGGCGTCCTTCAGCTGGCCCTAAACAAATATGTATACTAGTTCAGTGATAATGGACGTCATACTAAACTCCAAATTATACACAAGAAACTAAAATTAAAAATGATACAAGACTAACAAAGGCCAGAGGCTCCTGACTTGGGACAGGCGCATTTTTTG